GTTACCCCCCCCCCCAAAAAAAAAATTGTCCCATAGGTTGTACACGTAGAGTTAGGAAAATGACTGTCTGCAGGAAGACTAGTTTGCTACCGAAGAACCATCTAACTTTTGATAAAATAACATTTTTTCGAAAGATCAGACCTTAATCTTGAACTTCCATTAATCTCTTTAATACGTATTTTCTCTGAGCGCTAGCGGACCGATCCAAAGTTACCCCCCCCCCCTCCCCCCCTTTCAATTTTCCATATGTTGTACACTTAGAGTTAGGAAAATGACTGTCTGCAGGAAGACTAGTCCGCTATCGAAGAACCATCTAACTTTTTTATAAAATAGCATTTTATCGGAAGATTAGACCTTGTTCTTGAACTTCCATTAATCTCTTTAATACGTATTTTCTCTGAGCGCTAGCGGACCGATCCAAAGTTACCCCCCCCCCCCTTTCAATTTTCCATATGTTGTACACTTAGAGTTAGGAAATGACTGTCTGCAGGAAGACTAGTTTGCTATCGAAGAACCATCTAACTTTTGTTAAAATAACATTTTTTCGAAAGATCAGACCTTAATCTTGAACTTCCATTAATCTCTTTAATACGTATTTTCTCTGAGCGCTAGCGGACCGATCCAAAGTTACCCCCCCCCCTTTCAATTTTCCATATGTTGTACACTTAGAGTTAGGAAAATGACTGTCTGCAGGAAGACTAGTTTGCTATCGAAGAACCATCTAACTTTTGTTAAAATAACATTTTTTCGAAAGATCAGACCTTAATCTTGAACTTCCATTAATCTCTTTAATACGTATTTTCTCTGAGCGCTAGCGGACCGATCCAAAGTTACCCCCCCCCCCCAAAAAAAAATTGTCCCATAGGTTGTACACGTAGAGTTAGGAAAATGACTGTCTGCAGGAAGACTAGTTTGCTACCGAAGAACCATCTAACTTTTGATAAAATAACATTTTTTCGAAAGATCAGACCTTAATCTTGAACTTCCATTAATCTCTTTAATACGTATTTTCTCTGAGCGCTAGCGGACCGATCCAAAGTTACCCCCCCCCTTCAATTTTCCATATGTTGTACACTTAGAGTTAGGAAAATGACTGTCTGCAGGAAGACTAGTCCGCTATCGAAGAACCATCTAACTTTTGATAAAATAGCATTTTATCGGAAGATTAGACCTTGTTCTTGAACTTCCATTAATCTCTTTAATACGTATTTTCTCTGAGCGCTAGCGGACCGATCCAAAGTTACCCCCCCCCCCCTTTCAATTTTCCATATGTTGTACACTTAGAGTTAGGAAAATGACTGTCTGCAGGAAGACTAGTCCGCTATCGAAGAACCATCTAACTTTTGATAAAATAGCATTTTATCGGAAGATTAGACCTTGTTCTTGAACTTCCATTAATCTCTTTAATACGTATTTTCTCTGAGCGCTAGCGGACCGATCCAAAGTTACCCCCCCCCCCCCTTTCAATTTTCCATATGTTGTACACTTAGAGTTAGGAAAATGACTGTCTGCAGGAAGACTAGTCCGCTATCGAAGAACCATCTAACTTTTGATAAAATAGCATTTTTTTGAAAGATTAGACCTTGTTCTTGAACTTCCATTAATCTCTTTAATACGTATTTTCTCTGAGCGCTAGCGGACCGATCCAAAGTTACTCCCCCCCCCCCTCCTCCAATTTTCCATATGTTGTACACTTAGAGTTAGGAAAATGACTGTCTGCAGGAAGACTAGTCCGCTATCGAAGAACCATCTAACTTTTGATAAAATAGCATTTTTTCGAAAGATTAGACCTTTTCCTTGAACCTCCATTAATCTCTTTAATACGTATTTTCTCTGAGCGCTAGCGGACCGATCCAAAGTTACCCCCCCTCCCCTTTCAATTTTCCATATGTTGTACACTTAGAGTTAGGAAAATGACTGTCCGCAGGAAGACTAGTCCGCTATCGAAGAACCATCTAACTTTTGTTAAAATAACATTTTTTCGAAAGATCAGACCTTAATCTTGAACTTCCATTAATCTCTTTAATACGTATTTTCTCTGAGCGCTAGCGGACCGATCCGAAGTTCCCCCCCCCCCTTCCAATTTTCCATATGTTGTACACGTAGAGTTAGGAAAATGACTGTCTGCAGGAAGACTAGTCCGCTATCGAAGAACCATCTAACTTTTTATTAAATAGCATTTTTTCGGAAGATTAGACCTTGTTCTTGAACTTCCATTAATCTCTTTAATACGTATTTTCTCTGAGCGCTAGCGGACCGATCCAAAGTTACTCCCCCCCCCCCCCTCCAATTTTCCATATGTTGTACACTTAGAGTTAGGAAAATGACTGTCTGCAGGAAGACTAGTCCGCTATCGAAGAACCATCTAACTTTTGATAAAATAGCATTTTTTCGAAAGATTAGACCTTTTCCTTGAACCTCCATTAATCTCTTTAATACGTATTTTCTCTGAGCGCTAGCGGACCGATCCAAAGTTACCCCCCCCCCCCTTTCAATTTTCCATATGTTGTACACTTAGAGTTAGGAAAATGACTGTCTGCAGGAAGACTAGTCCGCTATCGAAGGACCATCTAACTTTTGTTAAAATAACATTTTTTCGAAAGATCAGACCTTAATCTTGAACTTCCATTAATCTCTTTAATACGTATTTTCTCTGAGCGCTAGCGGACCGATCCAAAGTTACCCCCCCCCCCCCCAAATTGTCCCATAAGTTGTACACGTAGAGTTAGGAAAATGACTGTCTGCAGGAAGACTAGTTTGCTACCGAAGAACCATCTAACTTTTGATAAAATAGCATTTTTTCGAAAGATCAGACCTTAATCTTGAACTTCCATTAATCTCTTTAATACGTATTTTCTCTGAGCGCTAGCGGACCGATCCAAAGTTACCCCCCCCCCCCCTTTCAATTTTCCATATGTTGTACACTTAGAGTTAGGAAAATGACTGTCTGCAGGAAGACTAGTTTGCTATCGAAGAACCATCTAACTTTTGATAAAATAGCATTTTTTCGAAAGATTAGACCTTGTTCTTGAACTTCCATTAATCTCTTTGATACGTATTTTCTCTGAGCGCTAGCGGACCGATCCAAAGTTACCCCCCCCCCCCCTCCAAATTTTCCTTAATGACACATAGAGAGTAATAGGAAAATGACCGTCTATTTTAACCTTAATTTTTCTAGTTTGATATAAAAAAATAATATAATTTTTTATTTTGGCAAACTTTTCGTTTTTGTTCAAAATCAGGTGAATAAATAATTTATTTAGTTGCATTATTGAAATTTTAATTTAAGACCCTTATACTTTTTACATTCTTCAAATTGGTTTTCCGGCTGGAATCCGGCCAACTTCCATTCAATGATATAGATAGAGGGCGTGTAGCTCTATCGACAACCTCGTCTCCAATTTACTTCTCCAGTTGGCATGCAGCATGCAGGCAGATATGGTCCCGCAGATGTATAGTTATGATATTACCGCCGAGAGTTTTGTTATTTTTCTATTTTTAATTTTATGATGGCGGGGGGACAATTGTATTATGTAAAGTATAAGGTACCACATGCAGGTGCGAATTTTGATATCAGTTTTGCTTATTGCATAGTTAATAAAGTAGGGTTAAAAATTATACAACACTACCGGTATTTAGAACTTTATGGTCATTACAATGTTCAATAGATGACGCTAGACGAAGGACGACTTTATTAAATTAGAGGGACAAAATGTTTTGGAACCAGATATATCTTTTTACGAGAGTAAAACAAAGAAACACTAAGAATATTTGAAGGAGACGCAGTGGCTCAGTTGTCGAGCAGCCTGGTCATGACCGGGAGGTCATGAGTTCGAAACCTAGCTTTGGTGAGGCGCATTAATCTTCATTATCAGGTCCGCTGATTGGTTGATTGCTTACAAGAATACACATGCTTTCTAGCAGTCAGGTAAAAAAAGCAAAAAAAAAAAAAAACTAAATTATAATGTTTTAAACAAGAGATGGCGCTAGACCACTTAAGATATAGCGTAAGAGCACAGCTTGCTACGACTGAATTTCAATTGTCAATTCCTTAGAAAATCATTAGAACAGGAAATATATTAACGTCAACATGCCCACCTGTCAAATTCAATTTTCAATGGTGATAAAAATCTTTCACCTCTGTTAAACATTGATCGCCTGATAGGCCTACAAATTCGTCGAAAAAAAATTCATGGACTCAACTTTGATTGATGATATAAATTTATTTCCTGTTGCTTTGTGCATTTTGAGATTATTTAAAATCTTGTTATACCTGTAGTTCCCTTTACAACAGTTTAGTTATTTATCAATTAATTCATTTTATCTCAACAGAGTAGCACAAAGATTCTCCGCCGTGTACAAATAAAATAATATTAAAAACATAGAAATTGACTAAAGTTTAAATACATTCTATTTTTGTATACATAAAATCTGACCAAAAAAATAATTTGACATCCAATTCGTTTAAGAGGCAGCGAAGCTCGGTCAAAGCGATGGTGGTTGGGGTTGTCATAGTGGTGGTTGGGTTGTTGTTGGTGGTGGGTTGGAGTGTTGATGGGGTGCATGGTGGTGGTGGTGGTGGTGGTGGTACGTGGTGCATGGTGGTGGCTTGGTGGTGGTGGCTTGGGGGTGGTGGCTTGGTGGTAGTGGTGGCTTGGTGGTGGCGGTGGTGTTGGTAGTGGTGGCTTGGTGGTGGCAGTGGTGGTGGTGGTGGTGGTGGTGGGTAATTGGTGATGGTGGCCGTCGGGGTTGGTGGACTGGTGGTGGTGGGTTGTTGTGGTTGTGTTTTTTGGTAGATAGTGGGTAGCCAAGGTGGGGTGCCGGGGGGGGGGGGGGGTGCCGGGGGGGGGGGCCGGGTGGGAGCCGTAGCTTAGGAACAATTGGTAATGGTATACGCTTTTAGGCACTCCACGCGGAGCGCGAGCCGACCGGAGCTACGGAGTCCAAATGGTGGTTCTATATCTACGGTAGATCACGAGTTCACAGGTACCTGCCTGCATGGGCCTCGTACTAGATGGGGCCTCACCCGCAGTTTCGCGGCCTGCCCGAGCCCCGCGGACGCAAGCGCCGGGCTCCGTCCCCTCGATCGCTTGCTAGCTGATTTAATAGCTGGCTAAACTCTCCGAGCACAGGTGCCATATTTGCAAGCAATCTTGTAAGTATATAGCATTCGATCCAAAATTCAAAATTTGGCAAAGAGAGAGAGAGAGAGAGAGAGCGCGCGCAACATTGGAAAGAATGATAACAAGAGGAGGACAATTATTGAAAATAGACAAGTATTGACATTGTGAATAAATTTCATTCAACACTATCTCTCTGTCACAAATTCCCTGGCTCGCCGCTCGGGAGTCCAAGCCGATGGTGACCCTCTGGCAGGATCTGCGAGCTGCCTGAGCTGCGGTGCCGTCATTGGGCTCGACGGATCTAGTAATAGTATCTTGGTGTAAATAAAAGTATCTTGGTGTAATTAAACCTGGACGTTGCACAGTGGTCTAGATCTAGTCACAGAAATAGTTGTATAGGGAGGACTGTAATTGTAAATAAGGCTTCCCTGTCCCCAGGTACGCAGGGGTGGGGGGGGGGGGGCGGTTTGCGGTTTGCTTTGGTATTTCTTACCCCGCCCCCCCCTCCCCCGCCTATTCAGCCGCTGGCTGAGTCGTTGCGATTTTTTTGCCCCCCCCCCCCGCTTATTCAGTGGCTGGCTGAGTCGTTGGAAAATTTTCGGCCAAATTTAAAACCCCCCCCCCCCCTTGTAAAAATCCTGCGTACGCCACTGCCTGTCCCATATTGATGTAGATCTGTACTAAGATTTTGCGTAGACCCTAGTTCTAAACTAGCTCTGCTACATGTACATACATACAACATGTACAAAGTGAAACTAGATCTAGGCCTAACTTCATGACTTAGGCCCGGGCCCGGACTACTAGTCCTAGAACCGTAGGTGTAGAGCTAGATTGTTTGAGCGTTAAAACGAATAGATCATCATGTTTTGATCTAGAAGAATTTATTATTTACATTATTGTGGCATAGTCTAGGCTTTAGCAACCAGTATATCATTTGCACTTTTGTGCAAACTGGTTTAGGTTTATCTGAATTTTGTCTTTTTTGTTGGGGGTTGGGTAAAGATGAAATTACCTCAAGCATGTCCTGGAGGGAGATTTTCATCCCTATGACTTGCCAATTTTTAATGAAAAGAATCGGGTGGAAATTCTCCAAAATTTGATTCATGACATTAGGTCCAAAAAGTAGAACGAAAGCTTCAGTTCAGTCTGCAATATCGATGGTTGTTCTGCTGAGACTACGTCTGGGTACACTGACTGCCTCAAGTTACATCTCTGACTGCAACCATGTGCACTCCACTGGCTCCCATACCAATAACTCCTCCAAGACGTGTCACTATAAAACAGCAGCAGAATTCATGTAAATTCTTACCCTTTTCCCTGGCAAGACAATAAATGATTCTTCTTGTTCCCCTAGTAAATCATTTTTCAAATAGAATTATAATCTTATATTATATCAATTAGATCTATACTGTTTCACATGTCTAATTGATGAATCAAACTCTTAGATCTCGATAAAGAAAAACTGGGGACAAACTTTTTCGTGGATTTCGGTGAAAATTGCTAATCTGTTAGAGGTGCGCCAAGGGCAACCGTCTGAGTTTGGGAAAGGTTGATAAATGTCAGTTTTATTAAAGAATTCCCCATACCAGAGGGTTATTTCTGTCCGGTCTTGGGGGATTCATAAAAAGTCTCAAGATTGTCATATTTTTTCTTGTTGATAGTCCAGATCAAAGGTCATGTCATCAACAAAGGGCATCGACTTGGACAAAGTGGTGGAGGAGTTTACTTCTTTGCACAGGGTATGTATTAAGTAGCTTACCATGCAAATAGCGGTAATGAACACCCACACAAATATTCAAGAAGTAGAAGTGAGGAAGAGGAAGAAGGAGAAGAAGGGGAAGAAGAAGAAGAAGAAGAGGAAGAAGAAGAAGAAGAAGAAGAAGAAGAAGATAAAGAAGAAGAGGAGGAAGAAGAAGAAGAAGAAGAAGAAGAAGAAGAAGGAGAAGAAAAAGAAGAAGAGGAAAAAGAAGAAGGAGGAGGAGGAGGAGAAGAAGAAGAAGAAGAAGAAGAAGAAAAAGAAGAAGAAGAAGAAGAGGAAGAAGATGAAGAAGAGGAAGAAGATGAAGATAAAGAAGAAGAAGAAGAAGAAGAAGAAGAAGAAGAAGAAGAAGAAGAAGAAGAAGCCAACAACAAAGAAACAGAACTAGACAAAAGTATATTATTAGAGGTCAAGTAAAATTTATTGAACAAATCTTCAGTCAAGGTTTTTCTTGTTTTTAAGTTTGATATTTTGATAATACAAACATTAAATCTCTCGGTATTGGATTGGTACAGTACTTAAGTTAAATGCTTTATCATAGTCTTCAAGGTTTTTTTTTCCTGAATTAATATATACAGTACTAGTATTAGTTAATCTATTGTTTTGTTATTCAAAACAAATTAAAAAATGCTAGATTCCCCCCATACAAAAAAAAACAAATACCCAATTTATAATCTAGAAAAAGAATTTAAGCAACCATACAGTCTGAAAATAAATGTCTGAGAATTTATAATGAAGAAAAGTGTTCCTACATTGATTTCATGATGTTTTTGTTTTCCCAAACAGCTTCATGAAAAGCTAATCCAAGAGAAGGAAGGTCTAGAGAACGAAGTTGCTCTTCTGCAAAGAGAGTATGAATCATCCAAGGAGAGACATACAGGAACAATGAAAGGTATTCCCTCAGACTCACAATTTAAGGTGATCTAGAGAACTTTCTAGTCAGAGGAATTCTTTCCTGCCTCCCTGAACAAACATGGCACAGAGTCTGTGCAATTTTCCTTGATTTTCTTCAAGATATCACTGATGCAAAAGAACACCTAGGGCCCTGTTTCATGAAAATTCTTATCAAAATGAAAAATTGGCCAAAATTCTAAATCAAATTTGTTCTGAAATGCAATGATTTTGTAGCTTATAACAGATATTTTAACTTGTTATTAATAAGAAGTTAGGCTTTGATTCTGTATATGTCTATTTTACAGGCCTACCTGTAAGCTGATTAAACATGTTTTTTTAATAATTAAAACAAAAACAAACAAAAAATTGTTATAGCTTTCTATGAGAATTGAAATGAAATCATCACTTTGGGTCATCATGCTACTGTTTTCCAGGATCTGGCAAATGAAAAGAACTAAGAATGATGCCAATTGGAGTTAAATATATTGAAAAATCTGTTGCAGAGATATATATATTTTTCTTGGTCCAGTTTTCTCAAATTCAATTCAGAGGCTGTGTTACAGGTTGTCCCTTTAAAAAAAAAATCTAGAAAGGTATAAAATAGTATAGATATTAATATACAGTTTGCTTATAAAAATCTTGCTGGCTACTGCTATGAATTTAAGAGAACATCAGAATCCTTGTGAAATTTTGTTACATTTATTTTCAGATTTCAAACAAGCTCAAGAGATGGTTACCAAGCTTCAGAACATGTTAAAGCTGAAGTGTAATCTTGAAGGTTGTATTCCAAATGTTTGTATTTGGTGTTCTTGATCAGTGTGTCTCGATCTTCAATATGTATTTGTGTATAAAACTCTAAGAAAATGGACTTTGATGAAATAAAGGCTGTAATATAATCACAAACACTTTCAAGAAGCCAACCTACATGTGAAAGCAATTTGAATAGCTCAGCATCATTCATCCGTAAATAGGTTTAAAGATGACAAGGATTTATTATGTAAATCTAGACATGCTAGTAAGGTACATAAAAATGCCCTTTGATTGACTTTTAAAATGTTTTTTGGGATTATGTTCTTGTAACTGTCTCTCAACTTGAAAGTAACTAGAATTGATGAAAAGGAAAACAAAACATGGCTTCTAGGCTTGTACAATTTTTTATTTTGATATATTCACATCTAATAAAGATGATGTATGATGAATATTAGGGATACATTCTGCATATTTGTTTGAAATTGTTGTTGCACTCATAATTGTTATCATTGATTTAGCAATGTCATGGACAGGAAATAAGTGATTTTTTCAAAATGTGTAGCTGGTTTATAGAAAAAACAAACATTGACAGGTGACGGAATTGCATTCAAGATTAAATATGTTTACTTTTTTTTACAACAAATACTCAATCTGTGCCCCCCTCCTCTCTCTCTACCTGCCTCTCTTGATCTCCCTCTTTCTCTTTTTTCTCTCCGTTTATTTTTATCTATCTCTTTCTACCATCATCTCTAGTTAGTATGATTTTAAAACTTCTTGAAAATACTACATTTTCAAGTCTGTCTTTATCTTTAACATTTAGATGAGAACCAAGAACTCAAAGACAAAGTCACAAATGTTATAGATGAGCTTGCCATTACTCGAGAGGTAAGTGCTTTAGAAACCATCCTTACCTACAAAGAAAGTTTTTGAAAAACTTACTTAACATTACAACCAATATGAAGGGCAGAAATGCTTGACTCTCATAGATATTTGTTTTTTCAACTAAAACAATACCATGTCAAATTACATTGCAAGTATTACATTACATTCACACATGATTCTCATCTGCAGATCAGAGATCGATTTGAATTCTTTTTAGCTTGATGGATTTTTAAGATTCTTAATCAAGATACAAAATGCACTGCTTATGAAAAAGGCTTCTCAATTTGCCATGTTATAAGTTTTTGTAGAATGTGAGTCTTTAACTTATCTGCAGCCTTTACAGACACTTATCATGAGTCATTGGTCAAGTTTCTCAAGTCACCTATTACACTGAAGTTCAGTCTTCAGTAGCGATGGTTGTTCCACTGGCACTGAGACTACATCTCGTTCCACCGACCACCTGGGAAGATTAATTAAGAATCATATCAGATATTTATTTCTGTTTTTAATGTAAAGCTTGTGTTCTTGTTTGTTTGTTTTTAATCAGGAACACAAGCTAGCCATGACCATGTCTGAGAAGAAGATGGAAGATCTCCAAGCAAGTCACAAACAGGAAATAGATGAACTTCTAGAGACTACCACAGCACAGAGTAAGTTACTGCAACATTATTTAGAGTTAGACTACCTTTTCATATTCAATATAAAAGAACCAGTTATCTTCAAAAGGAGGATACTCTTTTCGGGATGTTATTCTATGTGTGATAGATGATAATGGCTGGTAATTTAAACATTTAACGTTGATTGTAAGTATCAAGACAAACGTTTAAATTTTTAGAAGCTTTTAATCTGATTGCAGTTATTGGTAAACAAAGGCCCCTTTTGTGTTTTGTCATGAAAGTCAAATGATTTTTATTTGGATGACCGTTATTTGCATTCTGTTATAACTTTGTAATAAATTCTGTATATAATGTATTGCAATAAGTATCTGTTAGTATGAAATATAATATTACATCCCGTTCAAATTTAACATCATTTTAAAAGGAAATTGTAGTATTTTAGCATGGTGCATTATTTTAAGTCAATCCTGAATTGACTTTGTCATTAAATTTATTTAATTCTTGTAGGAGAGAAGGAGGTTGGGCTATTACAAGAGAGTTTACAGTCCAAGATGAATGAGATTGGTAAACTTCATAAGCAGCTAACTGAGCTGGAGAGAGAGAAACAGACTGAAGTGGCTAGAGTTAGGCTGGAGGTAAGTTTCTATCCATTTTTATTAACAGCATTCTTCGTTAATATGATCCTGCATAAGATCAAACACATTTCTGCTATGTTACAGGGGCATTTTTTTTTTTTTTTAATTTTTTTTTTTTTTTTTTTGGGGGGGGGGGGGGAGGGGGTCACAAATGTTCTAAAGTACACACACAAAAAAGTGTACATCCTGAACTGTGGTTTGAACCCCTTCAAATATTAAACCCTAAAGCCACCTGCAAAATAAAATATCCCTTCTCTTTGTTGGTTGTCTGAATTTTCAAGCATTATTGCCCCCTATTTACAAAATCCTGGATCCGCCCCTGTCAACATTTATGCCCAAAGTCCCTTGTGCAATACTGAACTAGGACCCATTTATCCGATTAAGATGTGTAAATTCCCTTCCAGATAATACAATTCTATACAAAATATTTTTAAAAAGAGAAGAATCAAAAGCTGTGAAAAATAATGTAAGTTGTCACTTCCTTTCCTTGGTATTTAATGAACAACTGTCATTTGAACTAGGGAAATGATTTCTCTGTGTTACTTACTTTTCATTTCTTTCTAGTGCTTATGTAAAAGTGTAATATTAATTCAAATATTGTATCAAGAGAAGTTTAGTTGAAGATTGTTAATAATAGTGTGTGCCAGCTAGAGCCCCCAAAATAAGTGAGAGAGAGAGAGAGAGAGAGAGACAGAGGGGAGAGCGTGTGAGCTTTTCAATGCATTCTCTCAGTCCTCTCTTCTAATTATATTCTTTTGTCACAGTATGATGCCAAACTATTGAAGCTGCAGAAAGAAATCACGAGAGCTCAGCAACAGAGCTCAAAGACTGCAAACAGAGGCAGTGATATATTCAGACAGGTAAATATTAAACGGAAGTTTCCTGTGATTTATCCTCTGTTTCTCTGCATGATCTCTGCATCTGTTTCTATTTCTTCTGCTCTTAATTCTACTATTACTCTCTCAACCCTATCTCCCTCTCCCCCACTCTCTTTTTCTATCTCCTACTATTGATCTTACTATCTCCGTCACTTTCTCTTTCAAAGACTGCAAACAGAGGCAGTGATATATTCAGACAGGTAAGAAGCACGATTCAGAATTTTCCTGTGATTTAGCCTCCGTTTCTCTCCGTTTCATATTGAGGCGTCAGTGACTCAAAGACGTAACTCCATTTTGGCCATTTTGAGAAAAAGTGGTTTATGTGTCGCTGAGCACTTGGGCCTTTATAGGAGTTAAGTCTATGTTTCACTAGCCATTGACTTCAATGGGGTGTTGGGTGGAGTTAAGTCTTTGTGTTTCCTGGAAAGCCCACATTTTTCTGAACATTTTGATATCAAATACTCATTTTGGCAAAATACGCACTTACGTCTTTATGTCACTGAACCCTAGATATGTAGTCTCTCTTCCTGCTTCCCTTTCTGTTCCCTCCATGATCTCTGCATCTGTTTCTATTTCTTCTGCTCTTCTACCATTACTCTCTAATAACCCCTTTCCAGGATTGCCAGTTTTCAGGCCCTGACACCTTTCTACACATATCAGGCTTTATATTATCAGGCTTCATATTGTACATGTCTGGGTCTCTTTTCAGGCTCATCTGGAGAAACCAACCGGTATCCCTTCCCCTATCTCCCTCTCCCTTTCTCTCTCTCTCTCTCTCTCTCTCTCTCTTTCTCTCCTATTATTGAGCTTACTATCTCCATCACTTTGCCTTTCATCGCCATGCTGTGGTTTGAAAAAAAAAGTATGATTCTTTATTAGAATTATATACAGATGCTGCACGTTGCGACTTCAGCCATATATACATCATTCAAACAATAACATAAAAACATTAATTAAAAAAAATAATAATATGAATCATTAATTTCAAAGTGTTTAACTCCCCCCCCCCCTGTTATTGTCTCCCTGCATACCTATATGTAGATTGATTTATAATAAACACATTGACCATTATTATCAATGATGAATTTCTAGATAGTATTCTAGAAAATAAATATACGCCAAGGACTTATACATGAACAAATCTTCGAAACTATTAAATGTGAAAGCTGAAGCTGACCAGCAGATCTCGACTCTCAAGAGAGATAGTAGTTCGTCAATCCTTAATTAGAAAATAAATATACATGCCTATGACTTTTGCGCCTTGAGCACTCCATAGAGTGGATTTGGCACCATATAAAATTTATCATTATTTATAAAGGAACAAATCTTCTATTAAGGGAAAGACAGTGGAATAAATACATCCACTTCTTTTCTGTGATTTATTTTAGAAACTATCGAATGTGAAAGCCGAAGCTGACCAGCAGATCTCGTCTCTCAAGAGAACCATTTCTGACCTACAGAGGCGGCTTGATGCACAAACAGGAGGCACCTATGGACCAAAGAGAAAGTTCTGAGGTGGATAACTGCATCCTACGACAACAATAAACTTTTAAAATCTGCTCATGATCATATTTTGACTGATTTCGATTGTACCTTGAAGGATTTCTAAGCTTCTTAACTCCATATATTTGCTGTGGATTGCACCCCAGACTGCCACATTGTTTGGAGTCTATGGTTCGCATATGTATACTGTATGTGTGAAAAAAAGCTAACTGTGGCAATCTACTATTTCTTCCATATGTTAACATTAGCCAATTTAAGGAATTCATTAAACATTATACAAACCTGGTAAAAGGTAAACCACTTGAAAATACTGCAGCAACATAAATGCAATTTAAATAAACAGTGTGTGTTCCACATGTTTGTATCTTGTATGCATACAGGATATTGTTCCATGAAGTTTTATTCCTTGCTCCCCATAATATTTTCCCTTCCCTTTCATCGATAGGTGAAATTTGATGCATTTGAATTATGCAGGTAGTTTACTGTGTCTTGTCTGAACCGGATTTGTGATTTGATCTGATATATTTCTGAACTCCCCATAAAGTGTATTGTGAAATATTGTAGGCATCCATATGCAATAACGATCAATTAAGTTAGCATATGTTCTTTACTAACTCTTAGTAGATCAAGTACATGCATTCTAAAGTTGAGTTTAAGCCGTTTTCATTTTGTTACATGTACACGTATGTAAATGGTACTTTGACTAAAACCTTTTCCTTTCTAATGGCATTTCTTGCTCTCTAATTTGTCTAAGATCTAAATTGTATACATATCTATCCCTCTCTAAGGACCTCAAGGAAGAACACAGTTACATAAAAATTGCTGAATTGGGCTTTCCTTCGATTTTTATTTATGTACATGTATTAAAATTTAATTTTGTATATTTTTCTTTGTAAAATATTTTTATCTGATTTTGGAAATAAAAACAACAACAAAATCTCTCCCTCCCACTTAATCCCTTAGTTCACTTTCTGCTAGAACTTAATCAAGACTGAAGAGCTACTTGTTTCTAATCAGAATGATTATTCCATTTTCCTCTCTATGTCTTTCCTTTTCCTTTCTCCCTTTTCTCTCTATCATTCTCTTTGTATCACTTAGTCTACCTAATCTCCTGTTTCTCTTGCTCCACTCTTCAGCTTATTAGATACCACATGCAGAGTACAAATGAGCACAGATATGACATACATGTACATTGTTTTATGGTTTATTCGTTATCCTGCGATAATTCCTGATCATTAAATCACCATATAACAAAAAGTGACACAGGTCCTGAGATATAATTTACTTTGGGTTGAAATATCTTTTTTTCATTGAAGTACTTGGATATAAATGCTGTATACATATAATGCATGCGAATCAATACAATTACAAGTCAAAATCAAATATACATCAAATCTAATAATTAATACACACTTTGATCACATCAAATTTCTATAATATTCTATATTCTATAATAAATTAAACACACATTTAATACAGGATTGCAAGACAAACATAATTAGCATAGCCAGCACCATCACATGGTCTTATTTTACAGTTACCCCAATACCATTGGCACATTTACAAGACATTTCATGAAGAGAATACCATCCATAACATGGTACTTGAAAAACATTTACACACCTTAACTGAGGGTGCCTAAGCACTATTACATGTAATTGAGGCTCAGGGTGAGAGGATGTTTGTTTACAAATGGTAAGATTTAGTGCTATCTTTAATGAACTCGCCTTTGGTACCTTCACGTTAGTGGCATTTACCGTTTAAGTTTTTGCTGCAAATAGATTTTATTCAGGAGAGGATACTACAAGTGTTCATTTTTAAAAGTGCAGTTTTGGATTGTCATGACATTGATTCAGCTCATGACTGATATGGGCCATTCCATGGTAACTCGCGTTACACTTAATGGGTACATTGACACGATAATGTGCCTATATCTTTAGAACTGCTAGGATCTACAAGATACTTTTTTCAAACATGGACAGGGTAGATATAGAACAACTGAATGAAACAAAAAAGAAAATTGAAGAACAAACATTTTTAGATTCTTGGATTATTGAATTTCGGTAACTCGCGTTACAAAAAAAGGACATGGTCAATTCTACGAGACCCTCTTTTCTCCTCATCTACTAGACAATCTTGACAAAATCTTTCCTACTTTAATTTGATAGTAGGTTGTGACTTACTAGTATAAGATCACAATATTAAAGATAAGAAACAATGGACTAGTAAAATGCAGGAAGCAAATATGTCGGTAACTCACGTTACGGTAACTCGCGTTACATTTTGTCCGGAGGCCATTTTCACCCCTATGTAATAGATTAAATATCACAGAACCCCTTAGAATATGGAAATATATTCATCTTTTTCCATTTAGCGAAATTTTCAGGAAAAAATATTACAAGAATCCTGTGTAATCTGCAATAAATTGGTTTTTTTCAGCTACAGTCCCACATGTACGTTTTTGATGATAGTTTGAGATCTTAGGAAATCAACAAAAATGAAAAAAAAATTGTATTGAATTTGAAAGGCCCTAATGTTTTATGAACATCCATGGCATAAGGTTAGTGATAAATCAAAGAATTAACATAAGAGGTACATTTCTTTTTTTGATGTCATGTCCTTCTTCTCATGGAATGGCCCATATGCTGTTTTTTTACAAGGTTCCTGACCAACATTTATTCCATGATGAAACAATTATAACAGCATAAAATACTTATTAATAAGATTTAAAAATACATAAACGATGAGAAGTATTAAGTAACCTATACAAATATTTACGTTATGCCAATAAGTATTCAAGATTATATTCAATTCATTCGGTAAGCCCTTAAATTTTTTTTTTTCACATTTCTTTGATTTTACATGACAAATAGGAAGATTAAAGCAATACCAAGCTGCTGTGAATTTGTTATCCCCTCAAGTGCGATATTAAACATACGAGAGGTTGGCAAAAGGAAAAATTTTAGACACCCGGTACCTGTCCTGGGATGTAAATTATAACAATGGCAACCTGCACAACACACATGTAAAACCTACTGAGACTGTTACACTTGCATTAACTACATACACACATGCTGTCTGAAGCAAAGCATTGAGATAGTTTAGGGGAGTGTATATGTAGCTGTTATAATAATAACCTTATACATGAGCTTTAACAGACCCAAGCTTGTGATATCTCAGAAACCACTAATTAAACAATTCATCTGACGACGGATAGTCGACCTGTTCGAAATGTCGAGCCACTCATTCTCTCCAAGCGCTATAGTTCTCCTTAGAACTATAAGTTAAGAAAGGTAACAAACAGTCCTTTTCAGGACTACACATCCCCAAGAAAGATTACCGAGTCAGAGTCCTTTTCAGAACTCCTCAACCCTCTCTCTCTCTATCTCACATGGTGCACCCGCAAGCCTACTGTATAGACAATTCATATTCGTTATGTTTAGAGTCTTGAGACATTCTGCAAAGTATAATCCAGACAGTGTGAGGACTCTCGCACTTGAGGGAGACAAAGTCACCCTCACCAATGCTTCTGGAACGATTTCCCTCCATGTATTCTGGCTTCACCAGCTCTTTCTATTTTCCAAAAGTCCCTAAAAATCTTTCTTTTCACCCATTCAACCTACCATTGAATGTCCCTGTAGTAGTCATATTTATTATCCTAAGTTACTTATGTACATTTAGATGCAATGTGTAACTACACTTTAAAACTGATTTCTGTACATACGGACAATCTACATGTACAATGTACATGTAATATAAATTTGTAATACTGCACATAATTAGTGATGAAAGACAATATTTTAGACATTTTCTTGGACATAACCTTGACATTTTACATGCTAATAAATGCAGCCCTGCCAAGTGCCCTGTTTTTTGCGGGATATTCCCGCATTCTGGAGAAGAAAAAAAAAAATTGAATCTGGAGGACATAAAATGACATTAAAATACGTTAAATCATGTACCATATTTGCCTAGAAATATGTGTGATGTGTCTCTATTTTTATTTGTGCATTGTTTTCTTGCTATCTCAACAGTTTTTTTATCACATTATGCCGGAAGAGCAATACTGAGGCTAATACTGTATCTCTTTAAAAAGTGAAATTAATGCATCAATTCAAAATCTCATCTTCCAAAAATACTTTGGACCTCTTCAAAAACTATTGCCGATGGCCGGGTGTGGCAAGGCCGGATCCCTAAAATTTGCACATTTTCCTGCCAGAGGAAATGAATTTGCAAATGAACAAATAGATTGGCCACTATAGTTCACTTCAATGACCATCGGTGAGAAAATCATTTACACTGTCAATGACAATACAACCTGAAGAAAAATATTTTGTGATATGTTTTGCACAAATCATATGAGCAAAATAGACTAAGTAAATCATTCTTTAAAAACATAAGCTAAATAGAAAAACAAAATTGACTAAACCTTAAATAATTAAAAAAAGATCAATCTTTTTTATTAAATCAAGAAGATAAGTACACTACAATATACCTATCTACAAAATATATATATAAATTGTCGCAATTAACATGAAGTGTCCAATAAAAATTGCACAATGGGCAAAGCAAAGTGCATAGTTTCTGTGCCTATTTTTCCTCTTGATATATCAATCCTTTACAAATCCCAGCTTCTACTATTATAAAAAGCAATGAGCATATAAAAATACACAGATAAAAAAGTACATATATACCAACAAGAAGCTTCATTTAAACATGATATGGTACACTGTCTCAAAGAAATGGCCATGGCAAAAAAATAAAACCCTGCAAAAAAAGTTTGGAGACTACAGTCTAATTAATTATATCTCTTTTGTTATGGCGCAATCATCACTATGTTTACGGTAGTATAATTAAAAAGTGTGTTCATTCTTCTTTAAAATGACACCCACATGTTATAATTTGTCAGTCATGGAATGTGCATTATATAATAAGGGGCAAGATCAATAAAGGACAAGGTCAAAAGTGGTGAGTTTTGATAAGTGATATGTCGGTTACAAATGGGAAAAATACCTTGTCCTTGTCTAAATCACATTTATGTTGCACAGACTGCTTCATCACTGTTCCTTTATATGTGAATCAGAACTGTCATTGGACTTTTGCTCCAACCGTATAGCTGCTTTCTTAGCCATCATCCTGGAAGCTCCCCTGGCCATCTTGAAGAACCAGTAGACATTGATAGAGTCTAGGCCAACGCTGGAGACGAGACAGGTCAATGTCATCCACATCGGAAGCCTTCGGAAACCTTCTGCAGAGTTCATAATACATAGGGGGAAAGAGAGGACATTAGAAATAATGAATTTATATAGCGCAGCTTTTATACAAAGTATATTCAGCTGTGCTGGTTAAGAGCTCCTTGTTTTATATTAAATTCTACAAAATAGGATCTCTCAATTGAACAAATATGTTTTTAATTTGGATTTGAAGACATTGAGAGATGGAGATCCTATTTCAGTGGAAGAAGGAACAAAATCTAACATGGTACTGGTAGAACTGCTAAAGTAGTAACGACTTTCAGTATTTTATCTTTAATATATTTGAGATGAATATTCAAGGTGTTCGGTGAAATATTGAAGTCTGGGTTGTGATTTTCAAGGTATTTCCAAACGGCCTAAGTACATAACATGCATTATATTGGGCAATGTTATAATTTAAGAGATACAGATTTCTGTGGTGTATACAGGTAAAAAAAAAAATGGATTCTTTCAAGTGAATGGATTTTTAGCCATTTAAATATCAACATATTCACAATATATCTTACTTTTTATTTCCCCCCTCCAAAATGAAAACTGTTTTTAATGCAGGGCAAAGGTACAAAAAGAGTTGACTCTCTTTGGCGCTCTAAAAACTTATTTGAAGTACAGCAAAAGGGATGGTTCTTACCTTCGAAAAATGATTTTAGCATAAAGTAGTAGAAGATGGGGAGTATCCCTACTCTAACGGCAAAGAAAGCCCCTAGCATAGCAAATCCATTGTACATATAAAACTTGGTGTCTTTGTACCCTAACAAATACAGCATCCATCTGAATGGGAAAGAAGATGGGAAATAAAAGGAAATGCAAACATATTATTATCAACTTGATCAGTAACATGCAGTTAAGAAGCTTAATCCAGGACTTAAATTAATCCAAGGCCACCAAGGCCATTGCCTTGGATGCCCCTTTGATTGGCCTCAATGCCCCTCTCACTGGCCTTGGAGATTTTATGTGCCCTTTCCAATTCTTCCTATTTGTGCTGTAATATAGGAATGTGCCCTAAAGAAAAGTGGCCTTGCCCTAAAAATATTGAAATTTAAGACCTGTTAAACAAAGATTTTATTTTTCATAATCTTGATTCAGTGTTAACTTTATAATTCATGTGAGGAGATGAATAAATTCTACTTGAAATATTTTCCATGTGAAACGACACTTTCAACCTATAACATTGAGCCATGTAATAATAACAATAGTGGGTTCTTGTACGTGCTCATATCTGTCAGATTTGACACTCCTGGCGCTCCCGATTATTGCTTGGCTTTAGCATGGCTGACATTACGGCGCTCAAGCATTTATATTTTCAAGGAATTAATTCCTGCAAGGTACCCATTAACATCGCCTGGGTTGGGTGTGGCAAATGTACAGTATGTCTTGCCAAAGGACCATTAGTGCCGCGGCGGGACCCAAACCACGGACCTTGTGATCCACAGTCCGGTCACGTATCTACTCAACTATGACACCTCTACCACCTATAAATAAAATTAACCTGTTGACTGCTAAACTCATTCACTGCCATAGGCTTAATACAGGGGCCACCAGGTTCCAGTAGACAATGGGTTAATGACAGAATGTTATAACTTGATCTCCTTGCAACACTATGTGGTTGAGGTTATAGACATGTAGATGGTCAATTTTTAGTACCTACCTTAAATTTACAAATGGAGTGGAAAACTCTGCATTGACCCGAATGTTTGCAAAGAAAGTCAGGGGTCCATATAACTGAAATAAATGTGAATAACATTGAAAAGACATTGCAGGCATTCATTCTCATGTCATTTGCATAAAAAGTGTATCATTTCTGATGACCAATAACTCAGAATTGAGCATAATAGTATTCAACATTAATTACTTTTGTGTTCTTCACAACAACATTTTTTTTTGGGGGGGGGGGGGTGATGGGGGATGGGGGGACTGCAGACAACCAAGAAAATCCAACATGAAATTTTGGTTATTCCACTTAAAACTCTTCAACATATTGATGCAGTTTAAGATGGCACATTATAACCACCTTAAATTTATTTTGTTGAATTGACAAAAAAGAAAAAAAACCCACCATGGTACGTATGACCGAAACGATTTCAGGTGGAAAGTAATTGCAAGTGGGAATGATTTTTTTTTTAGCTGCACATAAAAAAGGCCAACACGCATACTCGCAAGGCATATTATGTGAAGGGCGCTATGTGTAGGTCATTTATTTTTGCTGCAGCAAATTTGCGAGAACAAGATTTAAGAGATTATTTTATAATAACAATAATTATAATAATGATGATAATAATGCTAATGATAATAACAATAATTATAATAATAATGATAATGATAACAAGGGAAACGCTCTTGGCGGTCTCGCCTGCATTACCCAATTTAATATGATGAAAAATAGAGGTTGGGACATTATTCATAGGCAGGATGGCCCATCTACTCACATGATTGGGGATACATTTTCATTGAATGAGAACTTAAACTTTCAAAATTATACTAAAAATTCAAAAACTTAACCTTACGTTAAGATTTTGATGTTGACGCCGTCACCGCCGTTGCCGCCGCCGTCACCGGAAAAGCGGCGCCCATGTCTCGCTTTTGGCTACGCAGGCGAGACAAAACTGATAGTAATAATAATACTACCAGTAATAATAACAACGTCAATAATAACAATAATTATACCATCAATAGTAGTCACAGTTATAAAGTGCTTAGTACTACGTTTCTAATTGCGCTACATCGTAATGACATCTTATTATAATAACCTTACCACATTAGCTGCGAATGCACCAAGTACAGCGACATGGTGGAGGATATAGAAGATAGATTCTTTGAGCGGGAAGCCAATAAGCATGATTATCAGATCTAGCAAGAGAACAGGTCAAAAATACAGCAACGATTTACCTTTTTGTATTAATAACTTTTTAAAGGGAAAGTCTACCCTGATGTTGAGTTGGTTTAAATAAAAGCAGAAAAATGAAAGATATAAATGAGTGAAATTTTGAGAAAAATCTGATTTAAAAATAGGAAAGTTATGAATTTTTGGAGTTATCATCAGTGAAACACAAGTTGGCAACACTATGACATATCATGGAAGCTCCTCTCCAATTTGCTCTGTACAGAAAATTTCACAAACCTTTATTTTCTTAGTTATTTATGATGGAATAGACTTGGTTCATACAGGGGTTGCATAACAACATATGCAATAACTATATTTAGGATGAATATATGCTTGACAATTTTCTTCAGGGAAAATATCAATTTTTGAAGTTTTTAAGTACAGGACAAATGGGAGGGGAGCTCGTAAGACATGTCACAGAGTTGCCAATTTGTGTTTGGCGGATTGCACCTGCAAATATTCATTACTTTCTAACTTTTGATCGGTTTTTGTTCAAACTTTCACTAACCTGTTTCTCACATTTTTCAGCTTCTACCAACTTGATATCAGGGTGGACTTTCCCTTTTATAAGGTTATGTCTTGTACACAACTGAAATACAGGATTAATCTTCATTAACAGTATTATTCTTTCAGTTCTTTGAGGATGCCCTGGTTCAAGAAATATTCAGCTATGCTCACTGAAAATGAACAACACAATGTAAAGTAAGCCAATGCTTTATGTTCATCATAAAAATCTTTCAATATCAAATAATAATGCTTTAAAAATTATTTAAAAAAATGTGTAACATGCTTCTAAACAATTGTGTACCATGTTCAAGTCTGCATTACTACACAAACTAGTGGACATGCACATGAGTTCAAGAGTCCAAAGTTATTTATATTTTCTTTAAATTTAGTGGTAGCCATTAGTATTATCATTGTTATTGTTGTTGTAGTTGTGTCTACTCACCACAAGAAATGTATCCTGCTGTAAGAGCGATAGTTGCTCTTGGCAGATAAGATGTTCCCCTGAATAAAGAGAAAATATGTAACAAATTTTAATCAACCTCAAAAGAAAAACAAACTTGAATTAAAAAACTCCATTTCTTTCAATCCAACACCTCCTGTTCAATTACAATTTTTGTTTCATTCAACTTTGCTTTCGTTAGAAAGAACACTTTCATTGTAAGCTTAAAAAAAATTGGATATAATATATTGAATATATTTCTGACAATTGTAAAGATTTTTTTGCTGCTTTTCAGTTTATATAGTATTTCAAATTCATATACATGTCATATCCCCCCATAATTCTGCTACCGGTAGTCCAGAGACTCCATGCAACCATTAAAGAAGAAGGTGATGAAGAAGGAGAAGGAAAAGGAGAAGAGAAAGAGAACACCTCCCCTCATAAAATACATGGATATACACATTTAATTACCAAAGCTGAATATAGCATTTGCGAAAATTTTCTTAATATACACTTTCACTGTTTTTACTGAGGATCACCTTGTAGGGATTAATACACATAAAAAAAGGAAAACAAAACATCCGAGGGTTCAGTGACACAAAGACGTAACTCCATATTTTGCCAAAATGAGTATTTGATATCAAAATGTTCAGAAAAATGTGGGCTTGCCAGGAAACACAAAGACTTAACTTCACTGAATACCCCATTGAAGTCAATGGCTAGTGAAACATAGACTTAACTCCCTAAGGCCCAAGTGGACCTTTATCGTTAAACCACTTTTTCTCAATATGGCCAAAATGGAGTTATGTCTTTGTGTCACTGACCCCTCAACATGTACCGGTATGCATCCAATAGATCAAATACAGGAAGCAATCTAAGCATTATTCAACACATAGTTTCCTATCCCCAATGGATCATGTGTCCCTAAAACCCATAGTATGCCAGTAGGTGTACATACCGTAATGGTCACAGTCAGCTATGAAAGTTCACAGGGATAAAGGTTTATTTGTCACTGATAATGACACAAAACATTCTTGAAATTAATATTTTTTACATCAGATAATAAGGATCTAGGAGATCTGTTGTGTAAAACAAATGAAGCATGTTTTCATTCTTTCATTGCAGAATCTATCCGCTCTTCTTGAGGCTGTTTATGCAACTATCATACTCTGTGTGACGGCTTCATGCAATGACACAGCCTCAACTCAAGTGCGGATAGATTATATAATGAACTCATTTGCATGCATCGATTGTATGCTATCATTTAAAAGGTGTTCTACAAGCCACTATAGAAACTTATAAGACTAAAACAGTCGACTGACAACAGGTGGAACTCGCACCATTTTTTTCTTCACAAAATTTAAAAATGATTGAAGCTGTCACATACATGTATTCTATCAGTCTTACCATATTTTATCCTCCCATGTTGGTCCGTCAAATAGACAGTTATACATAGCAAGGCTACTGACCAAGAAGGCATGAAATGCTGACAGAATTCTGGAAAAAACAAGTATTAAAGAATAATTGATATTGAAAGGAGACCACTCATTTATCAATAATTTTCATACAAAGAAAATAGGGCAAGTCTATATGAACATCTGTGCCACGATTAGGCATAATTTATTCATCATTTGCTTGAATGTCAATCAATGGCAAGCTACAATGTAAATAGTGTAACCCAGACCTCAGTCTTCCCTTTTTTTTTAAATATCACAATATTATGTTACAAGAAGAAGTACTAAGGCTGGCATTATAAGAAAAAGAGACGAGACATTGACATAAATCAATTAAAAACTAAGGAAAATGAAAAGTTCAATTGTGTTGTGGTTTTGGGAACATTAAGATGATTGTGGCAAGTTCCTTGCCATGTTAAACAGATATGAAAGTTAGTTTATTCACTATCAATTTTTGAGATGATAATTTAGCAGCCAGTGTTGTTTTAGTTACTATATGTTTCTGCCTCATACGGTAAATACCTTGAATTCCAGTCAAACCGTTCAGGGGTGCTGATGGTTCTATATTTTGGTACAAGCCACCATGATAGATATGGAATGATGCACGCACAAACACCAAAGATGACAAAGGAATAGACCACAACAGGCACGTATGTGAACTCCAGAACATTCTCTGGTGGGCCTGATTCCCCAGGAGCCGACATTTTTGCTTCTCCAGATATGCGTGTCCAAGAATTAGGGCCGAATCTAATGAGAGAAAAGATAAAATGAGTAATCAATGTTTTACTGTCCAATGCAGATGTTACACTAGACTCTAACGTCTAAGACCGAAAAATCTGTCTGTTTCGGTGAGGATATGTTTTGATTAGACTACATCTGGCTCCATTGAATCCTTCCTTCCTTCCTACATGTAGTTAGGAAAGGGTCATAAATCAGAAATTGTTGGTCACCTGAAGAGCAGAGCCAAAGTTTCTAACATTCATCATTCCTGTGTTCAAAATTATTCTTTTTGCCTTTTGAAAGTTGATGATGAAATTCCTGCATATTCCTAATGTGGAACTGTTGTAGGGTTTCAGAAGATCAAAGAAAAATGAATGAATCTTAAGCCTAAGGCCCTCCTTCCCCACCCCCCCCCACAAAAATTTTTTTTTTTTTGGTTGTCCTCCAAGGGGCCGTTTCTCGAAACCGTCATAACTACAAGATCAATGACATCTCGCCACTGTCGCGCAACTTGTCAGCTATTAAAGTGTTTCACAAAGCCGCCTTTGCCAAGATGAGCAACAACTTCCGCGACAATGAGTTGTCACTGCTCCGAACCTGTCATATCTTTTTAATTGCTGTAAGGCGCCATCACAAGTCAGTTTGTTGCTATTCCATGGGCCGCGAAATGTACCATTAGTTTCACTATCATTTTTAGAAAAATAAAGACGAGTTCGGTACGTAATTCTCGGGGATGCGAAATGCAAATGTAAATAAGTGATAATACAAATTATACAGAAATTTTAAAAAGCTGATTATAAACATTAAATCACAAATCATTAAACTATAACATATAAATAAAAGAGATAAGAATGTTACACACCGTTGTCCATAGTCGATTCATAGTCTTTTCTTAGGATACCATCATACTGTACCTTTGGGGCCTATGTGCATTATCATTCCCTCTTTAATTACCTCTTCCAAATTATATTTTCAATATCAAATCAATTATATAACAAGTATTTATGAGACTCTAGAATAAAAACTGGCTGAGAAAAGGTATTTTGCCTAAAATTCCTCGTCACAGTAAACAAAAAAAGTATGTATTGATAAACTATCACATTACGGTATCCTTCAACTACCTTTTGATTGGATTGTCGAGAAAAAAACACTCACCGGTTTTTCTTCAATTTAAGAATCTTTACAGAAATATGCAAATCGTTTGATGATCTACATTTGATAATGACACTATTTTTTATTTATTTTAGGAGAGTTTATATGTACAGTGTATATGTTTCTTTTTGAACAGGCGCGTAGCCAGGGGGGGGCGGTGGGGGCGGTCGCCCCCCCCAAAACGCCGGCCAAAAAAAAAAAGAGAGAGAAAGAGAAGAAAAAAAAGAAAGAGGACGTAGGAAGAAAGAGGGAAAAAGAGTCGAGAACGGTACAACGAATCGTCAAAGCTTCCGCGCTTCGCGCGGGAAGGGGGAGACTGTGTTTAAATTAAGGATTAAGAGTCGGGAAAGGTACAACGAATCGCTTTCATTCTCTAATAATTTAATGAAACGTCAAAGCTTCGCGCGAGAGGGGGGGGGGGGGACAGAATCCAGACAGGGATTAAGAGTCGGGTAAGGTACAACGAATCGTCTTCTTTCTCTAATTATTTAATGAAACGTCAAAGCTTCGCGTGAGAGGGGGGAGGGACTGAATTCAGACGAGGATTATGAGTCGAGAAAGGTAGACCGAATCGTCTTCTTTCAAAGCTTCCGCGCTTCGCGCGGGAAGGGGACTGAATACAGATAAGGATTAAGAGTCGGGTAAGGTACAACAAATCGTCTCCTTTCTCTAGTAATGTAATGAAACGTCAAAGCTTCGCGCAAGAGGGGGGAGGGACTGAATTCAGACAAGGATTACGAGTCGAGAAAGGTAAAACGAATCGTCTTCTTTCAAAGCTTCCGCGCTTCGCGCGGGAGGGGGGAAACTCCCCCCTCCCTGCACCCACCCCCCTAGGGAGCGCGCTTCGCGCGCCCTTAAAGTGATTCGCACGCTTTGCGTGCTCACTACCGCCCCCCCTAAAATGAAATCCTGGCTACGCGCTTGTTTTTGAACAATTTTAGCCCCAAAACTTGTTTTGGGTTATTCGTGATGAATCAAATGGATCGTGACAAAGACTATGTTCTTGAGCTGCTTGTATCGCAATATATCGATATTATGTCTGTCATGGCTTTGTGAAACGGTTTATCCACTTCATGACATCTCCGTAGGTCGCCAACAAAGATATGATTGTCATGGAGTTGGTTTCATGAAACGGTCCCCAAAGCTTCTCTGGAGTAGGGGCAGGCTGACAGATTTTTTAATTTCAATTTTTTGAAAATTTCATTGGGATATCAAGCATTAAATCATACAAAGTAAATTAATATTGTAAAAGACTAGGTTACTGCAGGTCCCCCATGGTGCCCTTTTTCTTATGTTAATTGAGAGCTGATTTGATGAGATAACCACCTGTCAGTGACCATTCAGGGAGGTCTAATCCTCCTGGCCAAACTAGTGCAGATAGGCTTTAATATCATATTCTTAAACATATGTACCAGGAATATTTGCAAGACCAACACAGACAGTGTTTTAGCTTAAAAATACAGCACCTATTAAAATATTACTATTGTACTTTATAACTACAAACCCAATTTTCTTGTGTTGAATGCAGCAAACATTGCTTTTAATAATGTATTGTGAAACAATTTCGGAAAATATTAAACATAGTCTAGACCAAGTGTTTATCAAATATTTTTTCAAGATACTTTTTTTAGAATAAATACAGTTTTATACAGTTTTATTAATTCAGTCCTTTCAATTGTTTCATCGGGTGCAAAGTCTATACAAATAGATCTTCTACAATTACAATGAACATTGTCATTTACATGAAAGACAGAATTGCGTACTGGGGGATAGTGTTGAAAAGACCAAACTGGCGACGGGACACATTTTGATCCTTGCAACAGGCATAATGTTTGGCCTTTAAAATTGCTTCAAAAAAATTAAAATTGAAATAAAAAATATGAGTAGATCTAGCACGGAGAACTTTGTGCATCTAGCGCTGTACAACGAGTTTACACGCTCTCATTGGCCGTTCCGCTCGAGTGGCTCCAAATTTAAGTGCGAGAGGAACTACTTTACTCGCAACTTAGCGCAACTTAAGTTCAATGGCAAAGTCAATACGTAAGATAACGTCACACTACAGAGATTTTGACACGTCCTGTTTAAACAGGTGATGCACTTCACACATACAGTAGGTGACGCACACGGCATTGCAAACACATAAAATAGAAAAATCAACGAACATTTCAGAATAAATTTCCAGTTTGTACCTTAAATATGACGAAAATGAGAATAGTTCAAACTTAAAAAATAGTTAAAGGTAAAGACCAGTATTGGAAACGCCCCAATTTCCAAAAATGAAATGGAAGCTCTTATTACCAATCATGTGAACGAATATGTTTTGACTAATACTTGATGATCAAAATTTTGCCGGGAAACCGCTTACTTATTGATATATTTGGTAAATTATTTTATCTATTGGACTGTGAGAGATAAACGCACGTGTCGCGCACGTGTGCGTAGTCCCATATACATCTTTCTGTGTACAGTGCTTGTAACTTTACGAAGACTGGGAAAAATTTCTTATTATTTCGATGATTCTAGAACCTTGCAGTACACATATGCTAGATGATCAACCTTTTGTGAACGATTCCAACGTTTCTTTCACAATGCAATCGCATGACCATAACTGGTCTTTATCTTTAAGTGAAACTTGAACTTAAGTGAAATACTTAAGTGAAAAAATCATAACAAATAGAGGGTTTGACTGAAATATCATAATTTTGGTATTAAAAAAAACGGAATATCGCAAGCTTGCTCCTCGCACAAATACCTTATAGCATTGAGTGAATAGAGACCAGCAATAGCCAATCAGAAGGGCCCATGTCGGCCAGGCTAGGCGCCAACTTATGGAAATAAGGCTGAGATCGGATGAGCGATCTGCGCATGCGCTAATAGTAATAGCAAATGTAGATCTAGATCTAGGTCTAGACTATGTGCGGCCGGTCAAGGACAAACCAAACAATTTTGTTATTGTTGGCCTTAGGTTAAATTCAAGTAGGGTCTAGATTTCGCAGCTAGTCTACCTAACTTAACATCCGTCGGGTTTGTTTACCTGCCTCTCCGCGCACTTCAAGTTCAATAGTCTATGGGAGCCAGTTTAGCTTAGGCTTGGGGATATCAATATCACATTTTACACTATCAACAAGCCCTCAAAAGAAAAAAATAAGAAGATTTAAACATGCAGCTGCCGAATTGCGAGAGGCCCAGCCCCTCCCCTTCCCTTCCCTCATCGATCCGAGGCATAGAGACGAGGCTGAGGGCTAGCAACCGGGCTAGACCTAGGGGAAAGGCCTAGGGTCTCCCTGGATTTACGGCCGAGGTAACGAGGTCTGGCCGGTCGTCAGGAACCGAGCAGCTCACGTAGCTCACGTAGCTCACGTAGCTCACTCGCAGTCTGTTCAATCAATTCCACTAAATCAAATGCTTCACCTGAAATTTGCCATTATAAAGTATGACACCCTAATGGTATAGTAGATGAATGAACTGTTAAAATAATCCTTACCCTCCAAATCTACAGAAAGTTGTTCTTCTTGTCCAAGAACTGAGGCTCCTCTCTCGGCTGGTAGAAGGTGAGAAATGAATATCAACGTACGTACGAATCCGGGCTAACTCGGCCCACGGGACTACTCGGCCCAGCTGGAAAAACTGGGCCGAGATGTCCCGACCTGATTAATCGATCGAGAGATACCAATGTGTATATGTTTGTGCTCTTTGTGACTTAATAATGCCCTTTCCAACCTAAATCTTTAATGGAATTGTGTTAAATGATACTAATGAAGACAATCTATGACTTATCTTTCGGTAAAATGACAAAAAAATGACATTTCGGACAATTTACTCACAGCTCGCAATCCGCATTGCCGCACGTACATTAAATGTGCGTTGTTTCTACTCGGACCACTGAAATTCGAGCAGTGTTTTCGTCGGTAAATCACTGCAAAAATATCATTTTTATCTCGTATGAAGGTCTATTTTTTATTCCTGACACAGATTTCATTATTGAGAAGTCGAATATAGTACATTTTAGACGAGATGGTTGATGTTTGTTCACATTCTTTCGTCCTGGCCGTATATTAGCAGACTACTGCCTAGTGCTACCGCAGCAGCTCAGCTCAGTGTGCAGCTAGCCGTACAGCGCCGCCGGCCGGGTCGGCGGGGGAATTCACTGACTCGGCGCCCGTACCGGGCCGCTGCACTGCATTGCATTGTACTGCCCAATTTGATCGAGTGATGTGAGTATAACTAATCAAACTAGATCTATATCTACTGTATTATCATTATTCATTCCGAGTAGAATATCCAATTTGATTTAGTGAGTAAACTAGACCTAGATCTATATCTACTGTAGCTACATCATTATCATATACCTAGATTAGTCATTCAGAGTAGAATATCCGATTAATGAAGGAATGGAATTTTTCTTTTTTCATAATCAGATAATCATATTTTACTCCTAAAAGTTAAAGACTTGATAAAATAGCTAGATCTAACGTAAGGGCCTAGCCTAGTACTCTAAGCAGAGAAGTGAGCTGAAGAATCGCCTTATTTTTTTGGAGGGGGCTGCTTCCAAAAAATTCTACGAAAAGAAGGTATTGGCTTCAAATTTTTTGTATAAATAATGCAGCCCCCACCACCCCCCCCCAAACAAACCAAAAAATCTCCTTTTTGTTCCCTTTTTCTGGGAATCAAAGAGATATATACAAAGCAAAGCAAAGCAATTAAGACATGATATTGCAATGACGTGCCGGTGCATGGAGGGGCAGGGGCAGAGGCGGCCCTCCCGGGGATGGGGGGGGGGGGGGGGGGCAAAGTGCCTCCCACTTTTTCAGATACCCCAAAAGTGCCCCTTTTTACATAGGAAAAGTGCCCCTTTTATTTTGTAAGAAGTGCCCCTTTTACATAGGAAAGGTGCCCCTTTTCATTTGACAAGTGCCCCTATTACTTAGTAAAAGTGCCCCTTCCCCCTTTTCACCTCTGACGAGTGCCCTTTTTTTATTTTTGACACATGCCCCTTTTCCTTCGACATGTTCCCATTTTCCTTTGCAATAAGTGTCCATTTTCCATTCTCATAAATCTTGAAATAATCTTGAATAAGTGCCCTTTTTAATCTCTAGTAAGTGCCTCTTTTCAGGTACGAGAAGTGCCCCTTTTCACTTTTAATAAGTGCCCCCTTTACCTCTGATAATTGCCCTATTCAAAACTGAGAGGTGCTCCTTTTACTTTGACAACTACCCCTTTTTTCCTTTGTAAGAAGTGCCCCTTCTCCTTTTAATAACTATCCCCTTTTTTTAAACTCGGATGAGCACACCTTTCATTTTAACATGTGCCCCTCTTATTTTCTAATAAGTGCCCCTTTTCCTTATGATAAGTGCCCCCGTTAAAAAGAAATAGTTCCTTCCCCTTCTCATAACTGCCCCTTTTAAAAATCTGAACGGTGCCCCCTTTTCATTCAACAAATGCACATTTTCCTTTATTATAAGTGCCCCTTTTCATATCTGGTCAATGCCCCTTTTCAACTCTGATAATTCCCCTTTTAATAATGATACGTGCCCCTTTTCCTTTCTAATAAGGGAACTATCCCCTTTTCACCTCTTATAAATGCCCCTATCAAAATCTGATGGGTGCCCCTTTTCCGTCAACAAATGCCTATTTCCCATTTTCGTAAATGCCTCTTTGTCTCATTTTCACCTCTTATAATAATCCTTTGTACTTTGACACGTGCTCCTTTTCTTTTCGTATAAGTGTCTTATCCCTTTCGATAATTGTCCCCTTTTCTTGTAATCATTAAACGTGCCCCTTATTTAAGGCGACTGAGAGCAATTTCCCCCAAAGTTCGCTTGCTGCGCTCGCTCGCATTTAAAGATGATATAATTATGTTACTTATCAAAGGTCTTTTCAGTCTTCCATTATGAGAATGTGCTTATAACCCCATCACGATTGGCTTTTTTCCTCTTTATAAGATGTAATTTTTCGCACTGCGACCTCATACAATGTAGATCTTTGAAATTTTTCACGCTCGCTTCGCTCGCTCGTAAATGCATATTCAGACATCACACCCAACTGTTAAGTATGATGCTTAAGCGATATCTTGTATGATGTATGAAGAAAAACAAATATTGAAATCATCCCTGATAATGTAATCACAATGTAGGGGTATATACCAATGTCTAAAAAATTGTATATTTTCGCTTTGAGATTTCCCACTGTAGGTGCCCTTTTTTTCTCCAGAAAGTGCCCTTTTTTGTTGGTGCCCCCCCCCCCACTTTGGAAGTCGCTCGGCCGCCCCTGGGCAGGGGGATCTTAATTCTTGTAAGCCTTCTCCTGGACCTTTGGTCAACTGGTCATTAATTTAACCGTTCCTCAAATTTCTAAAAGGCAGCTGCCCCCCCCCCCCTCCCATCCATCTCGGCCGGGTATGTAATCACCAACAGAGGCAAAGATCTATGAGCAAAATCAATTTTTATATTTTTTTTTTGGGGGGGGGGCTGGGGGTTAACAGATTTATATCTGATATATTGTGTACCTGTATAAATATGTATACTATAAATAAATAATAAATAAAAAAAACAAATTTGCATTACAACGTGGCATAAAATTAATACACGATTACACCTGCTTATCATTTGTTATTTTGAGTCAGCTTGACGTCATATTGTTGGAATTTGTATCTTGGAGTCGTAAACAAATAATGTTTATTGCTATTATGTGTGTTTTTCAAACATGTCCTCATTTTTATTTAATTGTTTTAACTTTATTTATTTAGATTTTTTTTTGCCTTGTAAATTGCATATGAAATAATACGTACCAATACCACAACACAAGGAATGGTGTGGCGTGTCATCTGCATGTTACAATTTTTTTTTTTGGGGGGGGGGGGGGGGCTGGGGGTTAACAGATTTATATCTGATCTTGTGTACCTGTAAATATGTACATACTATAAATAAATAATGAATTAAAAAAATAAAATTGCATTTCCACAATGTGGCATAATACATAATGGAGACAATGTTGATGATGTAAGGGATGGAGATGATGAGAGGGATTGGTGAGGGATGGAGATGATGAGAGGAATGGAGACAATGTGAGGGATGGAGAATTAGAGATGATGAGAGGGATGGAGACAATTTTGATGATGTAAGGGATGAAGAGGATATTGATGATTAGAGGGATGGATGAAGCGGATGATTAGAGGGATGGATGAAGCGTGGAAGCATTGACGTTTTATAAATTATTATAGAAGACAATTCCTTGTACCGATCTCGACTCTTTATCCTTACCTGAATTCAGTTCTGTCCCCCCTTCTCGTGCGAAGCGCGGAAGCTTTGATGTTTCATTAAATAATTAGAGAAACAAGACGATTCCTTTTACCGTTCTCGACTCTAGATCCTTGTCTGAATTCAGTTTCCCCGCTCCCGCGCGAAGCGTGGAAGCGTTGACACTTCATAATTAATTAGAGAAAGAAGACGATTCGTTGTACCGTTTTCGACTCTTAATCCTTATCTGAATTCAGTTCCATCCCCCCTTCTCGCGCAAAGCGCGGAAGCTTTAATGTTTCATTAAATAATTAGGGAAAGAAGACGATTCGTTTTACCGTTCTCGACTCTAGATCCTTGTCTGAATTCAGTTTCCCCGCTCCCGCGCGAAGCGTGGAAGCGTTGACGTTTCATAATTTATTAGAGAAAGAAGACGATTCATTGTACCGTTCTCGACTCTTAATCCTTATCTGAATTCAGTTCTATCCCCCCTTCCCGCGCAAAGCGCGGAAGCTTTAATGTTTCATTAAATAATTAGGGAAAGAAGACGATTCGTTTTACCGTTCTCGACTCTAGATCCTTGTCTGAATTCAGTTTCCCCGCTCCCGCGCGAAGCGCGGAAGCATTTACGTTTTATAAATTACTAAAGAAGACAATTCGTTGTACCGATCTCGACTCTTTATCCTTACCTGAATTCAGTTTTGTCCCCCCCTTCTCGTGCGAAGCGCGGAAGCTTTGATGTTTCATTAAATAATTAGAGAAAGAAGACGATTCGTTGTACCGTTCTCGACTCTTAATCCTTTTTCTTCCTACGTCCTCTTCCTTTTTTCTTTTTTTCTCTTTTTTTTTTTGGGGGGGGGGGGCGACCGCCCCCACTGCCCCCCCCCCCTGGCTACGCGCCTGCCCCTCCAAAATAAAAGAAGGCGATTCTTCAGCTCACTTCTCTTACAGTACTAGGCTATAGGCCCTTACGTTAGATCTAGCTATTTATCAAGTCTTTAACTTTTAGGAGTAAAATATGATTATCTGATTATGAAAAAGAAAAATTCCATTCCTTCATTAATCAAATATTCTACTCTGAATGACTAATCTAGTATATGATAATGATGTAGCTACAGTAGATATAGATCTAGGTCTAGTTTACTCACTAAATCAAATTGGATATTCTACTCGGAATGAATAATGATAATACAGTAGATATAGATCTAGTTTGATTAGTTATACTCATATCACTCGATCAAATTGGGCAGTACAATCATGCAATGCAGTGCAGCGGCCCGGTACGGGCGCCGAGTCAGTGAATTCCCCCGCCGACCCGGCCGGCGGCGCTGTACGGCTAGCTGCACACTGAGCTGAGCTGCTGCGGTAGCACTAGGCAGTAGTCTGCTAATTTACGGCCAGGACGAAAGAATGTGAACAAACATCAACCATCTCATCTAAAATGTACTATATTCGACTTCTCAATAATGAAATCTGTGTCAGGAATAAAAAATAGACCTTCATACGAGATAAAAATGATATTTTTGCAGTGATTTACCGACGAAAACACTGCTCGAATTTCAGTGGTCCGAGTAGATACAACGCACATTTAATGTACGTGCGGCAATGCGGATTGCGAGCTGTGAGTAAATTGTCCGAAATGTCATTTTTTTGTCATTTTACCTAAAGATAAGTTATAAATTGTCTTCATTGGTATCATTTAACACAATTCCATTAAAGATTTTGGTTGGAAAGGGCATTATTAAGTCACAAAGAGCACAAACATATACACATTGGTATCTCTCGATCGATTAATCAGGTCGGGACATCTCGGCCCAGTTTTTCCAGCTGGGCCGAGTAGTCCCGTGGGCCGAGTTAGCCCGACTCCGTACGTACGTACGTAATACGTGCGAGGCCGAGGTTTGCGAACGTACGCGCACTCGAGCCCCCCCCCCCCCAAGGTCAATGCCTCCCCCCCCCCCCCCCCACCGCGCAAAGGCTAAAAGTAAAGTGTGATTCAAATAAAAGTTTACACCTAGAAAATTGCTAATCATTTTAAAAATCATCCTGTTCATCCAAGTGTCAACATGATACCACACAAAAACGTGACCAAATCGGGATAAAACGCACTTTCAAAGATGTATCATATTGTTCATATGATTTTTTAAATAAAGTTGGCAATTTTCTCTGGGTGTAAACTTTTTTTGACTCACACGGTAGGCCCAAAGCAGGGAGATGAGTTGTCACACCTGCCTCCCTGCGCCCAAAGTAAAAGACGAATAGCTATATAGAACGGACTGGAGATAACCTGCGGCGTACATTTTGTTGTTTTTAAAATCTTTGTTCTTCCTTTTCATTTTAATTCCTTGATTTGGTTATTAAAATTAAAAAGAAGAAAAGAGAGAGAGAGAGAGAGAGAGAGAGAGAGAGAGAGAGAGAGAGAGTGAGAGAGAAAGAAAAGCCTATAGCCTATATAGGCCTATAGTTATCCACATTATATAGACTCTATTTTTTTTAAAAGAAAAAAAGCGTTGGTGATCTTTCTTGACCGATTGCTTTTACAAAACAAAAAACAACAGCAGCAGCCCGAGGGCGTTGGAGGAGGGTTTCAGGCATGCCCCTACCCTGAGTGTTCGGGATATTCGCCGCATCATTAAAGCAGGGAGATGAGTCACACCGCCTCCCTGTGCCCAAAGTAAAAGTAAACGGATAGGAGATAAGGAGATAGGGAGGGTGGGGGCAGTACGTGTGAACTGTAGCTGCAACAATTATTGTTTAATAGGTCCATATTCAATATTTTGATGACTGAAAAACAAAGCCAGCATGATGTGAAATGGGAATAAATGTAGGCACTTACCAGAGATGAAAAGGCATTTATATGAGAATGGAAAAGGGACACTTATTGCAAATGAAAAGGCCCTTATCAGATTTGATTTGGGCATTTATCAGAGGTGAATTGACCGGACGCTTATAAATGAGAAAGGAAAAGGGGCACTTGTCAATGAAAAAAGAGGCACTTTTGGGGTACCTGAAAAGTGGAGGATAGAGCCTGCTCGTCTACGCCCTGCTTGAAACCATTGTAGGTGGCATTCAATTATTTCATGTTTTTAACCCAAAACAAATATTATCTTTATTATAATATGCCTATATATATATGATGATGGTGATGATTATGATGATGATAATTCATAATTATTTTGTATTATTATTTCATCATACATTTATTCTGAATTTTCATTTTTTGTGGGGGGGGGGGGGCGCTTATTGTGGGCACTGAGAAAAATTGTGGGGAAAGACCAATTTAGTGCCCAAAAGCCTGCTCGTCTACGCATTGGAACTAATATTCAATATGTTCATGATTTTAGTTCAAAAGAAATCTTTTCATTATTACTATTGCAATGTTGATGGTGATTAAAACTGATCAAGATGATGAATATGATATTATTTATTTCTTATTATTAATTTCATGATGATTATGATTTTTCCTGATGATGAATTTTTAAAAATTATTATTGTTATTGTCATTACTATTCTTATCATTATTTATATTATTATTATTATTATTTTTTTATTATTATTCAATATTAGCCTATTACCACCATTATTATTATCACCATTTATAGCATTATTATCATTATTGCTAATGTTACTTATTTTACTATCATTATTCTTCTTATTATTGTTGTTATTCTTCGTATTATTCTTTTTCATATTATTATAAATATTACAATATTTTATTCAGTCTTATTAATCTAATTTTTGGTGCAATTAAGTATTAAAAATAAACATGCATCCACACATATTACGAACGAGACTGAATTAAAAAGCAAAATGGCTGCGCCCACTAACGTGTCGTCACCAATGTTTGTAATTGGTTTTCTTTGCTTATTTGTCGTGATCTGCTTATTTAGGTTATTATTTGTCATGATTAATCTCGGAAAGATAAAGACAAAACATCCGAATGCAGTGAAAACTTTGATCGTCGCAGGATCAGGTGAGTATAAACATAAACGAGCTGTTGTCGTGTTGCACTCCAGTAGGCCTGCCTAAGCTAAGTTAGATCTATCTAGCCTACAGCCACACATAGGTGCATCACTATCCTGGCTGTGTATTAAATAAAAGCTGTACATTTGATTCTAACATTTCAAACACCACTGTACTAAACTCAACTGATTTCACTAAAAATCGGTACTTTAGTGACGATTGATGACACCTAAATAGTAGTAAAATACAAATTTTTCAACTTTCCGATGTTAGAAAGAATAATTTAAAAATTCAAATTTTGAGTCCACTGTGACTGTCAAACTCAGAAACTGGCCGATCAGCCGCATCGGCATGATTGTGTGCATCTGTGTGTTATGAGTGTGTTGACTATTCATGTATTAGAATGCTGCCTATTAACACGTAGTGCAGTGCTAAAGGTCAATACGCATTAGCATTGACTATCTATGGCATATGCTTTACTGGAGTGGTCTACAGCCAGAGTAGGCCTACTGTCTGTAGCAGTAGGCTATCAGTCAGTGACACGGGTCTGTTTTGCCGGGGTCTACGTCTGCTCGCTATTCATAAGGACCGATATTTATAAAAGACTGGCAGTCGTGTCATTTTAGTTATGCCTTATGGCTTATGCCATGGATAGTGGTCCTTATGAATAGTGGTCCTTCAAAGTTATGAATGGCGGTCCTTATGAAAAGCGAGGTAAATTGCCTATGGTTTGCTCGCTATTCATAAGGGCTTGGCCGCTATTCATTAAATTAAAGCCCGGCTGGCCAACTGCACTAGTTTGGCCAGGAGGGATTAGACATCCCTGCATGGTCAATGACATGACAGGAGGTCATCTCATCAAACTCAAAGCGGCTCTCAACATAAGAAAAAGGGGACCATGGGCATGGGCCAACAGTCACTGATTGGGCATTGTTGCTTTATAGAGGACGCAAGTAATATTGCAGTGGGGCTTTAACTTTAAGGCCTAAGGGGTCCGCTTTTCATTTTTTCACGCGTTACAAAGCTACAGAGTTACAGAGTTAGAGTTAAGTCTAGATTGATATTGATTGATTTATGTATTTATTAAAAATTTGTCATTATTAATTTAGGTTAGATTTCATTTATTGATTTTTCATATATATATATATTTTTTTTAATTAGATTTTGTTTCTATTATATTAGGGAGGGAGTGGGGGAAGGGGTGGCAATATAAATTCTTTTCACATTTATTTTTTTCTACTGTTTTCTACACTCTCCTGTTTCTCTCTTCTGTTCTCTTAAAGGTAAAGACCAGTATTGGCAACGCCCCAATTTCAAAAAATGAAATGGAAGCTCTCATTACCAATCATGTGAAAGAATATGTTTTGACTAATACATGATGATAAAAAATTTGCCGGGAAACCGCCTACTAATTCATATATTTGGTAAATTTATTTCTCTCATGGTCTGGTGAGAGAGATAGGGTAGTCCCATATACATTTTTCTGTGTATAGTGCTTGTAACTTTACGAAGAATGGGCCAAATTTCTTATCATTTTGATGATTCCAGAACCTTGCAGATGCTAGATGCTAGATGATCAACCTTTTCTGATCGATTCCACAACGTTTCTTTCACAATGCAATCGAATGACCATTACTGGTCTTTACCTTTAATTATTACAGGGGGCCACACAACTGAAGTCATCCGCCTCCTAGGTAGCATGTCAGACGTCTATTCTCCCCGTGTGTATGTATATGCTAATACAGACAAAATCAGTGAGGATAAGATCAGGACATTCGAAGAGAGCAAGACTGCAAAAGGGGATAGTCAAAATGTAAGAAGCAAAAGGCCAAAGGCATTTTGAATCGATTTACTATGATCTTGCAACTTTACAAAAAAATTACATCCAAAATGTTTTTATTAGATCTTTGACTTGAATCAGTATACTTAATTGAAAACAAAGCAATGTATACACTAAACATAGTAGTATTATGTAACAGATTTTAAAGCTAAAAATATACATTAAGGTAGAAAGGGTAAGAGCAACAAAATGTTTTTATTTTTGTCATGTGATCTGTCCTTATGTAATATAACTTCATTTGTTTGTGTTTTTAATGTTCTTCATATGATTTTTTTTTCACTCTACCGTAGTATCCTTGTCTTTCTCTATTGCTTTTATTCTTTCTCTGCCACAAGTACAGTACTCCTAACCTAACTTGATTCACACATCAGTATTCAGAGTAAAGAATACGGTATACCATTTGTTGTTGTTATATCTCTCACAGTATATCATAGAGAAGATTCCGCGCAGCAGAGAAGTACGGCAATCCTACCTCACCAGTACTATCTCAACTCTTTATGCTACATTATTTGCCTTCTCCATCATCTTCAAACATTCTCCGGACTTGGTGAGTCATATTTTTTTCTGATGAAATCATGAAGTGTTCATGATTAACCATAATGGAATTTTGTAAAAGGATAACAAGAAGTGGTCTTGTAATCGGGTGACCCCAGTTCGAAACCAAGTCGATGCGCTAGTGCCCTTTGGTAAGGCATTTACCAGGACCTAAAGCCGTCGGCTGTCTGGTTGCTTACTTACAAGCATTAATGATTCCTTAGCAGTCAGGTAAAATAACCACCATCACCAAAGGTCTAGTTCCATGGTCAAACATTCAACCTTCCAGTAACTGACTCAATGTTAAACGGAATTTAAGATAACCCTGACATTACAGCACTACCTTTCCTTTTTAATAAAAGCCTGATAAAAGGCTTAAACGACATGATCAGTAGCTGCGTGTGCAGATGTGAATAACTAAATTGATTACTGTTTTATGGCAAGCTGTTTGTTTTTTTGCATATATTTACATGTAATGGTAGATAACACAATGAAGATAGCCAACCGAGTCTATATGAAGTTTTGAACCTTGAACTGGTATTCAGATAGTCTAAATAGAACTTAATTTTCTTTTCAGTTGATTATAATTTTGATTATCTTATATAATGACAGTCAGATTATTTGTACCGAAAGTACTTTTACTTATTTTATATACAGCTACTTGTAAATGGGCCTGGAACCTGTATCCCGCTTTGTGCTGCTGCATTTGCAATGAGGGTGAGTGTATTGAACAGGAATTTCTTTAGTTTAGAACAACAAATAAATCTGGCTTCACACCCCTTCCTTTAAGTGATACCAGAGATGTAAACGCCCAAATCTTTAAAAAGAAATGAATAGGTATGCATTAATTTCGGAATTAGCGTTCCAATATTCACTACATATCATGCTCACAGAAGCCACATTTGGTAATAACACAAATAACAAACTCTTACAACGGTGATTTAGCTAGTCCAACTTCTTTGTACTCTATTGTATTTTAACCCTAGTCCTGGAATGTATTGTCTGTTGAAGCCAAGAAAGGGGTTAAAGATAAACTTTAGTACTGGTAATGCGATTGCATTGTGAAAGAAAAGGTGTGGAAAGGATCAGAAACAGTTGATCATGTAGCATGTAAGTATACGTGTGCACTGCAAGGTTCTGGAGTCATCAAAATCATAATAAATTTGACCGAGTCTTGGTAAAGTAACAAGCACTCACATAGAAAGCTATATATGGGACAACACACATGGTGTCGGGGCTAGTACTACCTTGATTTCCTTGTCTTTCTATGCTCATTACTCAGCCAGTATACATTTTCTTCCAAAATTGTTTGGCACATGTCATTTATTTGTAATCTTGAACATTCAGTGTAAGTTTCGTTTGATTCTGTGAGAATTATTATTATTTTTTTACCAGTACTGGAGTTTATCTTTAAGTCCATCTGTAGACTATAAGTATAGGGGTTAGCGCCTTTTCTGGCTTTCAAATAAATGGGCCTTCTATATCCAATATGTAGTGGTAAAGTGGTATGGCAAGGTGCATAATGTAACCTTTGGAATGTCTTTCTATTTTCATTCAACAGTTTCTAGGTGTGAAGCCCGTCATTCAAGTCTATGTAGAGAGTATCTGTAGAGTTGAATACTTGTCGCTCTCCGGGCTCATCATGTACTACTTTGCTGATCATCTCGTAGTCCAGTGGCCATCACTGAAGGAAAAATATCCAAAAGCAGTTTATCTGGGCAGGGTAGTCTAGTATTTAAGTAACATATTATAAATAATAATAATAATATGACAATTTGTATAGTGCAGCTTCTATACAAATACCTGTATATTCTGCTCGCTTAGAACAAAGTATCATATTACTACCCCGGCTGTAGCTAAGCAATAATAAGGTGCTAAATTGTCAAAGGAATTTCTTCCTTCCGGGTAGGCATGGTTCCCATATACTTCAACCCTCTACTGTCAACCAACTTATGCCTGGGTGGAGGTATGCGGCAAAGAATAATAGTGCCAGGTTGGAAGTGAGAGCCGAGTGAATGAAATGTTTAATTTTAATTTTTAATTCGGTTTTCTTTAAATTCTAAATGAAAGAAATGAAGCTACTGCTAATGAATGGAGCTACACTGTATCAAAAGCACCCAGTGCAATGTTTAACTCAATTATTAAAGGAATAACCTTTCCAATTATCTATTTGTTAAAAGAAGGAAAGAAGATCATAATTTCAGACTGAATTGGAATTTACACTTAGCAGTGCTTCGTAATGACAACAAAATAATACATTTATTTATTATTCAGCAAATAAAATGTATGTAGAATTACTGTGTACATGGTTAAAATGATATTGAATGCCTTTAACATATTATCAAGATGGCTGATGCTGATAGATTCTTTACAACATCAAAATGATTGTTACTAAAATTGTCAAATTGATATATTTTGCCACAGGTTTCTGTATATTTGATATTGAAGTGAAATAAATTATATGGATATAGCACTAAGTTGGAGTCAGTTGTGGTCTTAAAATAATGTACATGTACATGTATATGATATGTGTAGAGAAAAGGGAGAGAGAGGGAGACGGAGAGAGAGGGAGAGAGAGAGAGAGAGAGAGGGAGAGAGAGAGAGAGATGAAAGGAGTAAAGAGGAGGTAGGCACAAAACAGGATTCATATGAAACCCTACATATAAATGGTAAATAATGTGACAGAGACGCAAGTGCTTGACATTTTAACTTGCAATTTATTTGCATATAACATCACAAAAGTATCACAACTAAACTTCTTGTTTCATGATAAAATTTGTTGCAATTTTGCTAGCTCAAACCATAGTACAATAGAAAACCTGTTAAAGATTCATAAAGTCATCCCAACTGGATGCCCATACTGCATTAAATTATCTATGTTTGTTAATAAGCCACATATTGACCCACTTTAATATAAATGTACTTTGCAAAAACTAAGAATACAGCATTATTTCAGAAACTAATGACCAATGCGACTGCGTCTCCTATATGCCTCCCCCCTAAATTCAGTATAGGGAATGGATGGAATTATTTGTGACGTAAGAAAACAAAAAGCCTATAATCAAATGTCAACTGACAACATGTATGATCTTGACCTACTAGCCCCATCTTCCTATAACTTCTAGTCACCATGTTTAAAGCAAATATTTCAGACATTGATCTCTGTGACCTTGCAACTATTTACCCAAAATCTGATCAGATCATCTTCCTATGGTGATAGTACTATCACCAGATTTGAGCCTCGTGTCTCTAGTGGTTCTTGAGATGTCACGATAACAAGGCTCATACAGTATCTAGAATTTCAGAAATTGACCTCTGTGACCTTTGACCTATTAACCCCAAATCTACCGGTAATCAGATCGTCTTCATAGGGCGATACATATTATCAATAAAGAGTTTGAGCCTCGTATCTCTAGTGGTTCTTGAGATATTGTGATGACGAGGCCAATACCTGGAACTTCATTAGTTGACCTCTGTGACCCCAGACCTAGTTACCGGTACTCCAAAGTCTAATCAGATTGTCTTCCTATGGTGATACCATCCATGGTGATACATACTATCATCAAGTTTGAAGTTCATATCTCAAGTGATTCTTGAGATATCACAATATCAAGAAAGCAGGACAGACAGACGGACGGACGGACAACCCGGAACATATTTTTTCCGGTACCACCTTTGGTGGGCAGAGGTACAAAAACCACACAACAACTGCCTCAAAATGAATTATTAAAGAACATTTCAAGGTTCCGAGGGTAAAAAAACTCTAAACATTTTCAAATCAGGACAGAGAAAAATAACTTGAACCTTGGCAGTGTTGTGTAACTCTATCCCTAGTGTATGCTTATATATATAAACTCAGGGCCTTTTGCGAGACCAGACTACCAGGAAGTCTGATAAATTAAATATTAGACTTATGGGAAGTATCTTAATTACCAGAACAAAGAAATGTCATTGATGAAATACATGAGTTGCCTAAAAGCCATTAGAGTTATGGGTGTTATTAGCTACATCCCCCATCTCTCTCTCACACATGGTCCAACTGTCAGCCTACTTGGATAAGCTACATACTATTTATTTACAAAGTCAACTTTGCCTTCAGTTAGCATAGTTTTATGACAGGAGGTGATATCATATTTAGCAGATATGATATCTCACAATACCGGTAGGTAACCCATACAATTAACTGACATTATCAATATACCGTTAGTTACTTTTATGTCATATCATCTTTTCAAATGTATGTCAAATGTATCCTTTGGTTCTACATTGATTAATTCCATGATGCACCCTCTGTAAATGTACATGTAATAGGTAAAAAAAACACTAAAATCCAGATCAAGTTATTAACACTGACATCTAAAATAAACTGCTGAATGACTTGTTAGGAATACAATATGTTGAATTGGTATGTGAGCTGTGAAATCCATAATATCTTCTCCCAAATGTTACATGTGACAAATTTGAACAGTGAATGGGAAAACTACAAGCCATGTTACTTTTTAAATTTTGTTTAATATTCTTTTTAACAAGTACAATTCCTTGCTTTCCATGCACAAGATATCAAAGAAATGATCAAAACAACAACTTTATGCCCAATTGTCCACCTCTTAACATTTAATCCTAAGAAAGGGGGGGGGGGGGGGGGGACAGTTCCCTGGGTTAAGTTAACATAGTAAAATAGAAAGTTAAATTGCATTGTCAAGATCATAGAGGTAACATGGTTATAGCTATCACATACAAAATAAGCAAACATAATAGTTTTACACTCCTGGATAAGCATATCTAATTTTCCTTATATAAAATGTAAAATTCACAATATTTAATCACTTTTTTTTGGGTGATTTAAGTAGATCTGCCATAGCTGTCATAAAATGCATGCTCATTATAATAATTTTGTATAACTTCATATAGATCAAATTCTTATAAATTAAACAGTGGAAAATTGTTAGCTTTACTCCTCATAGATTATACAATAATTAGTGGTATCAAATCACTATCAATTCATGGATTGATCAATGGTTGAACCAATCAAAGGTCTACATACTGCATCAAGACCGTGCTTAAAATTGTCCTTCTTAATCTTTAAACATAATTGATGGAAATACATACACTGTTACCAGTTAAATTGGAATAATTTTTCTTTACCTATTTTCATGAAATGATTGCAACAATATGATATATTCTTGACAGATATAGTTCATATCTCAGAACTTTATTGATCGATCTATAGAGTCATACAGATTGATCAGTAAATCTCTGGCAAGATATAAACTGCATAAAAAATAAACAATATTGCTGCAATCATTTCATGAAAAAGAGTTATATATAGAGTTATAAAGGTGAACCTGTTCTACACATTTTTACATAATAGCAGTGAAGGGATGTTCCTTTGTCTACCTGAGGAACTGTATATTTTGTCCGCTTTCTTTGTCAGTCATGTTCATAGTGTATACAGGTAGGATCACCAGTCTTCGGTTTTACTGAGTAAACTTCTAACTTTTCTCTTTCTTCTTTCATGTACACAACCTAATGTAGCGGCATGCACTAACCCTACATTTTGAATGGGGGGCAAAGTTCATCCCCTTCTACCATTGTACACTTCATCGTTGCCTAGCAGGCGCTGCAGTGAGCCTATTGTCTTCTGGATTCGGATCAATGTACATGACCCTTGGCACGACTTCTTAACTGATGATCAAGGGGTCAGATTAAGATTAGGGAACCGGTTCTAAATAAGGCATGCCTTTGAGCACAAGTCTGCTTCGAGTTGGTAATGACGAGAGAACTGATACACAAACATCATGTACACCTCTGTACCTAATCATTTTAAAGCTAACCTTAAGTAAAACTACAGAGACCTTATCATAATTAAAATACCAAGGTTTTTTAAATAGAACCAAGCTTGGAGGTTTAGTAAATGGAAAACTGGTAACATTTGCTTTGAATTAAGTAGAATTAATCATCATTTTTCACATCATCTAAAAGCAGTTTTTTTCTCCCTTATTTAGTTCTTCCTGACAAAGAAGGCTAAAGTATATAAACAAAATCTATCTGCAGCATTGAAAACAAAAACACATTATGAGAAAATTAAATCTTCCAAATACTGTATGAAAACTGAATAAAACTTATAAAACACACTTGCTTCAAACATAGATGTAAATTAAACTTGCTATTTTAGAACAGCCTGATGTTAACAAATTTCAGTCAGTTTAACTTTGCAAAATGAAGGTAATTGGAGTTGACAATGATGGAATAAATTATCACATAATCACTATCCAATAAAGCTGACTGTAAGATACAGTGTATAGTATTAGGAAAGTTGCCCAGCCACACATAGTGTAGAAAGTAGTAAAACTGGTAAGGTGGAGGGGTCGTTTCTTTAAAAAAAAGCATTTCTTTGATTATTATTGGAGTAAAATCATTTATAATATTTGGATGTATTATTATCAACAACAAATATGACTTTTATTTCAAAGGGCCTTGGTGAATTTGTATCGGTCCTATATGCAACAACCCTAACTATGATTTGAATAAATGTAAGATATACAAAGCTATTATAATTCTTTGCATGACAACCAACATTATTACCAATATTTCTACACATCCCAAAATGATCATTCATTGATCAAAATATAATCTGAAACACATTGCACATGTTAATTGAGATTATTAGGTACATTTTGCTTAGAAGCCTTATAGTATGAATCATGTACATTATAAGAACATAACATAAACAGAAATATTTTCAAACAACAATGAATGTAACAAATTAACTTTTAAAACATGTACTTTGTTAGTAAAATATATACCAAGTCAAAAGAGTTTGTATATACAAGATTGCAGCTAACTCAATACAAAAATTAAGATGTAGATAAAATAGACTAGAATTCAAGGAAGTTGTCGAAGAATAATGGCTTGTTCATGTATAACATTGGAAACCAGGAGCATGTTTTTACATATTATTTTCATTCTATTTTTTGTTTAAACCGGTAAATGAATACCGGTAGCAAGTTGGGATTACAGAAAAGTATCTGTGCACAACAAAGGTCCAACTTGTACACACCATCTTTGTGTTAAATATATGACATAAAAATGCAAAGTCTATCATTATCAACCGAAAATTTAAAAAATTTGCGGCAGTATTCCGTGTAAAATATGAACGAGCCATCAGAAGAAAAGAAAGGAAAGAGGGAAGAGCTCCTATATAGCAGCTAACTATGATCAGACATGTAGAGTAAATCGTCTCGGTTATTTGCACTTCTGAATACTGGAATTAAACCTCACATGTTTCACTTAAATAATTATGCATGAACTTATATACACAACACTCAACATGATTTCATATTTTCCATATATACATGCATGCATATAGGTTGAAAATGCAAGTTACAGCATTAAAAAAACAACACAGATATTTCTACCACCACTACATGAACAGATAGATCCAATATTATACACATACTAGCTGAATAAGCATTTCCTCGTTTCAACCATTGTTTTCCAATGAGGTTAAACAAACAAGACAGATACTGATGTGAAATACAAGCATTCACAGATTGCATGGAGCATGTACAAGATAGTCAGTAGTATAAACCCCCCAAAAATATGATTACACCCTATGAACTATTTTAATGAACTAGGTAGAGTATATGACAATGTGCTCCAGCAACAACTGCCCCTGGTTCATGGGTTTAGGGGGTTTAAATTGGCTTCAAGGTTGAAGCTAGATTTGGTTCAGTTAATATTTGTTTGTTAGATTTTTTTTTCTTTATTTTTCAACATAATGGAAAGTAATATACAAACTAGGTACATATGAATTATTAACAAAAGTTAAAAATACATATATATAATCATATCATAAATGTAAATCAATTAAATAATTATACCTTTAAAAAAAACGTACCCCTCGTTGACAAATCATTTCAAAACTGAAAAAAATTGTAAGATGTGTTCACACGCAATAGATCAGTTTACTAACACATTCAAATTGTAGGCATACTGTTTAAATCAAAGGTTGTTCATGAATCTTGACAACCCAATTTTTTTCCTGAGGCTTGCCCAACATAGCAACAAGTAATGTATGCAGACTGGATTCCAAGTATTGTATTTCTGTCATTAATAACAGGGTTAATGGAACAACTTGTCACTAGGTCCCCAGGAAAGAAATCTGAATGTCAGTAAACCTGTCTATTGTTGCAGGAGCATGTGTGGCACAATCAAATAAATTACACTCAAAGTGAGTAGTATGGATACAATCAACATGCACATACTTTTCACTCCTATCTTGAAAATTAGTCTATATTTCAGATAAAGCATTATACCTGTTAATGTGTAAAAGCTACCGCTACTGTAATTTCAAACATGGTATTAATGTTATCAAGGATGAATACAGGTGGAAAATGCATTAAACATATCAGCTACAGTATGTCAAGGAAAATCCAAAATATAATTGCATAAATGCAGTTGCAATATTTCCCAATACCTTTAAAAACACCTTTCCATTGAGTTGTACAGGTAGAAGTCATGAATCCTGTAGTTTACATTATGTACATTATATCTCCAATGCCCTAGGTCCGTATTCATTGAAGCTGACTAACTTCATTCCAGGTTTCAACCTTGACCAAGTTGTAGAGTTAGTCACTTGATTTATAATATTAAATATGGAGCACCATTAGTGTAAACCTCTACATTTTTTTTTTTACAGGGTATTGGAGTTTTTAGTAAGTTTTCTGGTCCCAAAACAACATGACTACCTGTACATGATAACAATTAAAGAACATTAACCTTTTCAGGTTCCTCTTGAAATGCAGTTTCCATGCACTACCAGAATACAAGCCAACCTGTAACTCAACGGCTTGATCAAACCATCTGTACAAGTGTATGCCACTTGCAAACGAAAGGTACAATGTGGTATTCGTTTTCCATCTGTTGACCTCTGTTGACCCCATATATGTCAGGTCATTATAAAATCACAGTGCACTCTGTACACTTTACATGAAAAGAATACATAGCATGTGGCAATATGGCAACCAAGTGCAGGTTTTCATTGATTTTAACAATTCTAGCTGTTTTAAAGCCTGCTGTAATTATATGCTACAAAGTACTAGTATGTCTGATTGCAACCCCCCCCCCCCCAAAAAAAAAAAAAGAAAAAAAGAAAAAAGTTGCAAACCAACACTAATATTCTTGAAAAAAAAAACTAAGGTATGGTTAGGGACATATCTCAAAAGAATATTAGTGCCTAAAATGTTGTTCAGACCTTTGTGTGCTCGTATTTACACTTAAGCATTGCTAATGGAAGCATATTACCCTTGTACATGCAAGTTGCCCATTTCAATACAAAATATGCAACCTTCAATAGAGTTATTTCCGCATAAGTCGAATCTGTTGGGCTGCAAAAGATGGTTTGACTTACGCATAATTTGACTTAGGAAATGTAAATAATACATGTTTTGCATGGTTTGGCCCTTCAAATTTAGTCAACTTTGAGTTATGCAAAGTTAATTGTAAATGTACATGTTTCCCTAACCACTTTACCAATGGATGATACAAAACACCCCAAATCCAAATATACAAAGATCTAATAAATAAATGAATCAAAATAGACTTTAACAGTGATACCAAATAAAATATAAATAATACATCATATACAATTTTAACAACTCCACATCTATCAAACACATTTAAAAATATTAAAATATTTTCAAAAAAACAAACAAATAACATTATAACTATTTGATTGCACAAAATTAAAAAAATTAAATTCAAAACTCAAATTGAAATTTTAACTTATACTTGCACAGCATTGTATATCTATCACCCACTAAAATGAATCTAAAATAAAGACTTGTAACTGCAACAAAGTTTCTAAACCTTGTTGCAGTACAAATGTTCCTTTGCATATAGGTACGCATATTAACAAATTGCTTTAAAACAAACTCTGAAATTCTTACACTTAAACTAGGCATCACCATGTAGTGTAGTATGAAATGAGATTGAAGAGAATTTTTCTTTTCCATACTTGTCCCTTGAAAGACAAGCCAGACATGACGTTTGATTAAACCCAATGGAAATGCTTGAGAAAAAGAATTGAGCCATTTGTTTAAAGAAGACTAGTCAAATATAACTTAGTGGCCACTGAGGATACATGTTTAAATGATAAATGTGTGACAATAACAAAAAACAAATACTAGTCCATTAAAAGCTAGGGCATAGATTTCTTCTGATTCAACCCCAATGGGAAGGCATTATCAGAAATGGAACAGAGTCATCTCAAATGTGTTCAAATAGTTCTGGTCAAATTTACATTTGTATCTCAATGGCGACCTGTCAAAAGTTGTTGGACGAGCTATTGTTTCCCCTCTAGTTGTAGTGTGTAGTGGTGGTTATTTTACCTGACTGCTAAGAAAGCATAAATGGTTGTTAGTAGGCAACCAGAGGACCGACGGCTTTAGGTCCTCTCTGAGAGACCTGGTAGTGAGGATTAATACCTTATCAAAGGGCACTACCGCATCACCTTGGTTTCGAACCCAGGTCACCGGATAACAAGACCACTGCTCTACTATTAAACTGAGCTATCGCGCCTCCTGTTGGAAATATTGGAACCTGTCTAGAAAGGCCATCTCATGATCTGTCTACAGAGGACACCTTTTCTTCCACTGGGTGACTGAAGAGACCAGTTTTTTACAGTGACGAGATCACACAGTAGCCTTTCTGGAAACACATGACATAGCATTCTCCATTAAACTCCAAACTACCATAAAGTTCCCACAAACTCGATTAGCAAAAATAGCAATTAACATTGCATTCAAAATTTTGAATACATCACACATCAATAGTTACAAATATAGCCAGAAATTTGAACATAAAATGTAGGCTTGTATCCCGTGCAGAGGGAATGCAAATAGAAGAATATTTGATTTGGGTTAATCCTGTCCTAATCAGGACAAGCTGAAGGACAGAAACAATCAGTTATGATCTCAACCCTTTAATTTATACTACATAAAATTTTCCTGAAAATGTTAAAAATTTTGTAATGGTTTACTTGTACATCTTTCTCAAGGTAATGGTATACTTTTCACATAAACTAAATAAATAATAGGGTATAATTTAAAATAAATTCTTATCAGTGTTTGTTTGTGATAGTTTACCAAAATCTCAAAGCACCACAAACAAGAGTGGAAGTCTCAAAATCTTGATTACCAGCAACGAGCCCCATATAAAATATTCCAACAAATACAATTTAGTAATCTTATAAATCTTCCCTTTATTGGTTAGTCCCGTGATATCAAATGTTAAATGACCCGAATACTGCATATATCTTACAAAGCCTGCTTTCAAGACAGGCAGGGCAAAGCGGATTTTATCAACTTAAACCAAGCTTTTTTTTCATATGATACATAACAGCCTTGAGCTTCCTATCAACAAACTTTGAGCATTTGGAGCACCTCTTTTCTCGGGAGCGCCTCAACCCAGAAACAAGGAGCTCACACTGGCTGGAGCGTATTGTCGCTGTTCCAAAGCTGTCCTCCAGTAAGGCAGCAGCCTGCCATCGGGAAGTCGAGGCCAGCTTGTTGCGGTACATATGGACAAGATCACCTCGCGTTGTTCCCTCGCAGACAGAGCATCCATTGGAGATGGCCTGCAGGACACCCTGAAGGGCTGCTTTGGTGTGGATGCGTTTGCCAAACCTTCGGAATATCCAGTGATTGGCGGGGACTTCCAGATGATGGCAGTGGATTTTAACCTCATGGATGGTGTTCCACAAGTTAATGGACACAGACATGTTGATTGTTGGGTTTTCATCTTGGCCAATGAGTATAAAACGCAGCCAGTTTCCTGACATGGACTTTACCCAGGGTGCAGGAGGAACAAGGGAGGTAAGATCTTCAGTGACAGTAGAGCTTCCTCTCTTCTTTGTAACTGTGGAAGCCATGTTCTGCATGATGTCTGAAAATGAAACATCTCTTGATGTCCCAGAAGTAGAGGAAGTTCTTGAGGGAGATCCGACGTTGGGACGCACCGGAGTCAGAGAGCTTTGTTGTAGAAGAAGGTTCTTTAGGTTTGCAGAACTAGGAACGTTGGGGAGCACATCTGAGTGGAAAGAAGGGGACCTTTCTCTTTCGCTGACCTGCTGTCTGTTACGCATGGTAGGATCTGTCTGATTATGAGGTGAGTAGACTACAGACGTATCATTTGACTGTTGCTCAAATGATCCTTGTAGTGCAGGATCTTGACCACCAGCTTGGCATTTCTGAGCAAGTTTCTGAAGGATATCTGTGAAGGACATTGTATCAGTCTCTGCACTTCTCTTCTGGGCAGGCGAGGTTATACTGTGACTGCTGGAGTCACATCGCCTTGAACTACTTGGCTTACGAATGACATGCACATTTCTCATTTCACTACGCTTCTGAAGAAGATCATCTTTCCTCTTATTTGGCCATCCTTGTTTGATTTTGAGGCCATATCTTTGGCCTCGCTTCCACCTATGCTTCATTAAATTTGAATGCTTTGCTCGAGTAGGTAAACAATTTACAAGTTTGGAAGTGCGAGAGGGGAAATCTGGCATATTGGTTTGGTCTACATCATCAGATGATAAACTTGGCGATGAAGACATACTTGGGGCCTCGGCATATGATACTGGTTTCTTCTTCTGAGCTCTTGTTCCTTTCCCATCTGAGAATTCCCGTTCTCTGGATTCAGCAGACTGTGAAGGGCCGCTATGTAGTCGAGCAATACAACGTGGGACCTTTTTATTCTCACCTGGGTCTTTCAAAGAGCTGGCTAGTTCCTTTTTTAGTAAAGAAGTAAGTGATAGAGAGCCAAGATGCTCTTGGGCTGATTCACAGTCCTGGACAGATCCTACTTGAGGTTGTTCATCACTCATTATTGGCTCTTGCTTTATTGATTTCTGATTATGCTGAGATGCCTCTTCCTTATCATCTTTCACATCCTGTTCCAGCATTGAAGATGTGATGTTGTGCAGGAGATCAGCAAAGGAGGCAGCTCCTTTGTTTCTCCAGTTGGAAGAATTCTCTGTACTCAATAAATGTGAAACTATTCCTCCCTGGTTTGACAGTGGTTGTCTACTGCTAGATGATTCACCTGGTAGATGGCTTGAAGAACTCTCCTCACTGTCTTGATGAATAAGTCGTGTCTCAGTTGACGGTGTAGAACTACTGGACTGTAACTGAGACTGAGACTGATGGAGGGACTGTCGGGATCCGATTCTCATGAGAAGCCTTTCCCTTAAAGTGGAATTCACATCCTTACCAGACTTCTCCCACTCACTACTACCCAAAGGGCCATTGGCTGGTTCTTGCTTGATCATTACTTGAAGATAGCTACTCTCTGGTTCGTCATCTTCATCAAGGCTTGCTGCACCACCAAGTAAATACTGACTCTGCTGCTCAGGAGCTTCTTGACTGTAGTTGGATTCTGCACGGGGTTCTTCATCTCGAGGTTCCATCTTGATGTTTGGAACAGGATGCATGGTGTCATCCAATTGATTTTGTTGACTTTTGTCAAGGTATGTCTCCTCCTCATTATCATCAAGAGGAGGTAGAACATTTCTAATGTGACTCCACTGGTGGCTATTGGGATGCAGTTCATCTTCAGTTTCATATTTATCAGCTCTGGCTTGGAACGACCTTGAGGACGAAAAATCTTCCATGCCTCCTCTTCTTTCTGCTCGGCCTAGTGGTGCATTAGCTTGAGCTGGAATGTCCATGTTGAATTGCATGACCTTATCTAACTGGGTATTGTGAGAGGACTGTGAGAATTTCGTCTTGGGGCTTGATTCATCCTGCTTGGGAGAAGATGCAGTTTCTAGAACTCTTCTTGATATCGTATCATGTAAGACATCAAGGAGAGACTTTGAACCTTTCGGTGTGTGGTCTTGCCCTGATGGACTTGATCTGTGATCCCTTCCAAGCCGATGCCTTTTATCTTGAAGAGACTCCTGGTTTCCTCTGTCCACTACAGATGCAAAGCTATGTAGGAGACCTGCAAAGGACTGTTGTTCTGTGCCTACAGGCGTGGCTGTACTCCCTGTAAAGGGGCTGCTACAGGTTGAGCTTATTCGATCAACAGGGTGTTGTTTTGGAGTCAACAAGGATTTCAAAGACGAACGTGGAGCTGAAGTATCCTTTGTGCTCGTAGGAGAGTCATTCACACAAGAAACAAAGTTTTGCAACATTCCCGAGAAAGACATATCTTGTCTGGTGTTACAAGCAGGTGAGTCTGAAGTATGTTGGCTCTGCATGGAAGTGCCTGACTGCACTCTATGTTGTATGCTTCGAGGTGTGGAAGGGATGGAACTTGTAACGGGCCAAATATTTTTAGAAACAAGAGAAGACTCATTGTAAGGGGATTGATGTTCATTAGTTTCAACCCTATTGTTCACCTGAGATGCAAATGTATGTAAAAGACTGGAGAATGTTGTCTGTTGTCCATCCGGACTATCTTCCAACTTAATGGAATCTTGAGGACTACTGTCCTCTACCTTGGTTCTCTTTGAAGCACTACCTTTCATAAGGGAGACATCTCTAATGGAAGTAACCTGTCTTTTGATTCTTCCTGTTGAGGAAGATGGAGATAGATCTTGAAGGAAATCTGCTGGCTCTGTGCCTATGTAGCTGTCTGAGCTTTCATAAGATTGCTTCTCAGCAGAGACCGGTGAAAGGTAAGCAGAAATATGCGGCAGGTCATCCGTCATAACATAATCTTGATTGAACTTCACAGGGCGACTCCTCTTTCTTCTGGAGGAGAGTTTGGGAGACATTCTGACCTCTTCTCCTTTATCGAGGCCCCTCGGACTGTCCATGGCTGTTGGGCTTCTGATCTATCAGTACCTGCAAAAGACAAACAAAATATAGGGGTTGTAATTCAGAGATTCCATTCTATGCAATGACTTCTTGGTAAATATGTATCAGGGATAGCAGTTGTTTTTACTCTACAGCGCATCCCAGCAAAAACGAAACCCTCAAAACAAATGACTACTGTGAGTGAACTATATGAACTGTAAGAAAATAATTCTTTGCTTTTCATGAAGTAAAAGTAATGTACTTTAAAGTGATACTTTGATGCAATTAATCCACACACTTCATCCAGCAACATTTGAAAATGCTATGTCAAAATCTGTTTGTTCTAAATTTGGGTAAAACAGTGAAAATGTTTAATAGTATCACATTCGAACCTATGGGACCTAAGGGAAATGTAAGCTTTAAAAGATTATTTTGCAAGATTTCCACTATATATTCGTTATAAATAGCAGGGGTGAATACAGAATTTCCTAGATGAGAGGGGCGGTACAGCAGTTCACCCTCATATTTTCCCAGAAACAATAAATAACCCTTGAGCAATGGAAAAATGCCAATTTTGTGATTGAAAAGGATGCCCATACTGGGAGGAGAATGTCATATTCTCTTGGCTAGTTTTCTGCCTTACATGTACGTGCCCATACTTTCCCCACTTTACCACAATATAATTTGCCCCATATTCTGATTCCTGTGGAAATAACACCAAACTATCAGGTATGAACTTTCAAAAAGCTGCAGTTTTGGAAAATTCAAAATTACTATTCATAAGAATGACAAAATATGCCCTTTTTAGTTCTTACCCTCACAATCGTCAATATCTCAATTATCCTTTGTCATATGATACCATTAATTTTTCCCTCCTTAAAAACGCATATGAAAACAATCTTCTTAATGGATTTCAAAGTGTTTTTCCTTCAGGTCGTGTTCAGTCATGTTCATGTGTTCATGTCTGAGCCTTGGTGTAATTAATTTGAGTACAAGAAATTCCTTTAAGATGTGCACTTTGCTTGTAAATTTGCTTCCTTTTTTTTTTTATATAATGCTTAAAATCAGGTAACAAGAAATACTTCAGCAAATTCAAAGTGCACTTCAGCTCATAGCTAGGATTTTAATATGACAAATTGTATTTGATTGTGATCAAATGTTATTTAGATAATTGATTCTTGTTAAAATTTTTATTCAGATTAATTGCCTTTCGGAACTTAAAGGTACATTGTAATATAAAGTTTTGGTATGGGGCCATGAATTTGGTTCAAATGAACATATTAGAAGTATACATGTATGCGATCCCAGGATTGAAATTGGGTCTAAAGTGATGAAATTGTGAATAATAGACTCTTTATTGTATAGCTCTCTCTAAAGATTGATTGATGGATTGATTGAGATTACTTTAGCTTCAAGACATGTTTCTTGACTAAAATTGGCAGATTTTCTATTGGAAATTGTATATCAGAACTGCATATTCAATATTATCATGGTCGCAACTACCATTGTATAGCCGTAGGCGCTATTTGAAATTTAACAGGAGCACTGATAAATTTGATATTTTAATTTCTCGAAATCCTTAGTGTTTTAGAGCCTAATTTTTTTAAAGTTGCTTATTCTAACACTAGGTTTCACAATGCAAATTTTAAATTTCATAATCCAATCCTCTTGAAATGTTACCAAAACGTTGAAAATCAGAAAGCCTGTGGGCACTTTCGCCCATTGATAAGAAATGGGGTTGGCATGAGCTGAAAGTCCAAAACTATTTTTGTTTTTTTGTGTGCTAAAATTCTTCCCATAGAGAGTGCACACATCCCTATGCAGTCCATGTGCATTGCAAAATTGGTCACTGATTTTATTAAAGGTAATACAAAGTTTTGGTATGGGGTCATGAATTTGGTTCGAATGAACATATTGGAAACATATTTGATCCTACAATATTCAGTGATTGTTGTCGCGGTTGAAATCGAGTCTAAAATTAAAGAAATTGTGAATAATACACTCTCTATTTTGTATAGCTCCTTCTCAAGGTCAAGATGTTAATTACGCTATAAAACACGGTTTCTTGACTAAAATTGACCGACAAGCTATTCCCATTTAGAAATTATATATCATAACTACATATTCTGATATTTCCATGGTCGCAGCTACCATTGTACGGCCGTATGCGCTATTTGAAATTTATCAAAATTTACCGGGAGCACCGGTAAATTTTTAAATTCAATTTTTCTCGAAAGCACAAGTGTTTTAGGGGCTCTATTTTGTAGTGCTTATAATACATCCACAGGGGCATCCAAATATATCAAAATTGTAAAGAATCACTTTCCACCCAATTTTCAAAATTTCCCAAAACTTTGTATTACCTTTAACAAAATGAGATTCAAACCAATACTGCTCGTGATCCTGAAGGTGATACTCAGTAAGTGAGGTGTCATATGAAAGAGTAGGTTTTTCTCCAAATTCCGTAAAGGGGCTCACCCCAAAAATTCTAAGAATATCTTGATCAAAACAGAGATTTAAACATTGTTTCCATGGTAACTCAGAGATTTCCCAATTTCACAAAGTGATCGAGCCCCCTGAGGGATAAGTTGGGCCAGCTGTAAGGAACAGATCCATGCGCTTATTTTTTTCTCTAGTCCCAAGGGATCACGAGCAGTTACAGTTCGAAAATACCCTTACTCCACGCTTTGCATATATCGTGCTGTGCAGCTTTTGAGCAAAATTTATAACTCGGCGTGTACCACTTTTTTGTCCTTGTTTACTTTCCTTTAAAACTAGTTATAACGATGAGAAATGACTAATTAAAATGTTAGATTTTGTTATTGGCCTCCCTCACGGAGAACATTGCGCATTGAGCGCTGTACATCGAGTTCACACGCTCTCATTGGCCGATCCGCTCGAGCGGCTTCGAATTTCAGTGCGAGAGGAACTACTTTACTTAAACACAACTTAGCGCAACTTAAGTTCAATGGCAAAGTCATTACGTAATATAACCTCACACAACAGAGATTTTGACACGTCTTCACACATAACTGAAGCACACACAGCATTGCAAACACATAAGATAGAAAAATCAACAAACATCTCAGAATAAATTTCCAGTTTGTACCTTAAATATGATGAAAATAAGAATCGTAAAAAATAGTTAAGTGAAAATTATACTTAAGTGAAATATAGTGAAAAAAAATAGAGGGTTTGACTGAAATATCATAATTTTTCAATCGAAAAAAAACAGAAAATCGCAAGCTTGCTCCTCGCACAAATATCTTATATTATAGCATTGAGTGAACAGCGATAGCCAATCTGAAGGGCCCATGTCGGCTAGGCTAGGCGCCAACTTATGAAAATGAGGCGGAGATCGGATAAGCAATCTGCGCATGCGCTAAATGTAACTAAGCTTAAATTCTCTGTGTCCCTAGATCTAGATGAATATTGACTAGATTTTTTTTTTTTTTTTGGGGGGGGGGGGGGGGACTGGGCTGTATCTTTTGATTGAAACATCGGTGAGCCTTGAAATTTGGCGCTAGTTGATTTGGTTGATTTGGCGCTAGTTCAGAAGTCTATCCAAAATTTGACCCGTAACTCCGGCCTGGAGATACCCTACTAACACATACTCAAAATGAAGTAGGCTAAATATTCATCAAATGTCCAAATAAAGGTCATGAACTCATGATTTAAAAGTCAATATGTTCATTACCTGTTTCGTGTCAATTTTCTTATATTTTTGGAGTATTTTTCCTAAAAACGAATACTTATAATATGCACTTTCTCACGGGATTCACAGCAAACTGCAGCACAATACAATTGCATACCATACTGACGGTAGGTGCGGGCGCGCGCGTGTGTTCAGTTAGCGACCGTAAACTAAGATTACAGGCGCTAACTAACACACGCGCGCACGCACCTACCGTCAGGACGGTATGTAGATCTACATGTAATTGTAAGATAAGAAAATTGACACAAAACAGGTATCAAACATATCAAATTTTAAATCATGACCTTTGTTTGGACAATATTAACTTCATTTTGGGTATGTTTTAGTAGGGTATCTCCACGCGGAGTTACGGGTCAAATTTTGGACAGACTTCTGAACTAGCGCCGTTGATTATTTCAATTATCCAACCATGATAATGAAAAACAATCCAAAAGGGGAAATTGAAAAAGTTGATCAGACACTCGTCTGAAATAAAAATGTAAGCACTGCATTGTGTCTGCGCCTGCACGGCTGCTGTGGCGTAAATAAGCGCTGAGTAGAGTAGCTCAGCTCACTGCAAGCTACTAGTACTAGTAGTAGTACTGCAGCAGCTGCACTGTCAGTAGACAGAAATAACCGTCTGATATGGGTCATTTCTTTAAAAAAACTGACATTTGTTGACATTAATCGGAGGTCTAGTGGAGCCAGACGTAGTCTCAGTGGAACAACCGACGATTAGAGGGACTGAAAATTTTGGTCTACACTGTCAGTCGACAGTAGGCCTAGACTACACTTACTTAGAATACATCACAGTTAGAATGGTTAGCCCACACATAGGTGCATTACTATCCTGGCCGTGTATTAAAAGCTGTGCTATTGATTCTCAACATTTCAGACATCACTGCACAAAACTCGACTGATTTCACCCAAAATAGGTACTTTAGTGACGATTAATGACACCTAAATAGCAATAAAATACCATTTTTCCAACTGTCCGATGTTAGAAAGAATAATTTAAAAATTCAAATTGTGAGTCTACTGTCAAACTTGCCGATCAGCCGCATCGGCAGAATTGTTTGCATTTGCGTGTTGTGAGTGTATTAACTATTCATGTATTTAAATGCTGCCTATTAACACGTAGTGCACTGCTAGAGGTCAATAGCATTAGCATTGACTCAGTAATATGCTTAGCTGGAGTGGACGTGGGTTAGCCTGGCTTCGCTTGCTTGCTTGGCCTTGGCTTTGTACAAGAATAAATCACTAATTTCCTCACCTTCAAACTTTTAACAATTCCTGAGACGTTTAATTCATCATGTGATCATCCAGACGGCAGCATAATGTAGATTTTTAATAAGATCGAAATAAGGCCCTGGCCTTTTGCAATCAGCGAAGTTTTTCTGTGCCTAGGGTCTACACTGTATACAAAATGCTCGGCATATATGACATGGGTTAGGTCACGAATTCGTCATATGACCCCAATACGAACGACCTTTGAACACGTATTTTGCGCGCGTACGTTACGATCGAAAGCTTGTTCCATGGCTCGAAACAAAGACCATGAAAGGTCACGTCACCTATCACCTTCCATGCATCTCACCAGCTTCTCATTTCTCTCTCTCTCTCTTTTACTCTCTCTCTCGGATATCTCTGCACATTATATCCCACACACTCTCTCTCATTTCGTACCTTTCTCTAATTTCTTTGGGGTATTTTATATACATTGTTCACATTGTTTATAGTCTAGATCTAGGTAAATTTCTGCATGAATCTCTTCACTTTACGACACTGACTATATTAGCTTGGTAATTAAGGCCGTTAACATTTATTATTAGCTTTAATAAGTATTTCTTTTTCTTTTTCTTATATTACTATTTTAACTAATTGTGTCTATAGGGGACCCCACTGAAAATAAGCTCTCGAGCTTTCATAGGTTATCCAGCTCGAGCTGACTTAATTTTGATCTGTTATCTTGTATATTATAGGTTGGAATTAAGCTCAGTGGCGAATATCAATCACAGTGGGACATAATAAAGTACAGGTATATTTCAAGGCAGCGCCGCGGGTCCAAATTTTCAAAAAGAGGGGCCGAAGCAACGTGTGCGCGTAATTAAGCGCGAGTCCTGCCAACCTGGTTGTTGTCGTTGTTTGGTATTATCGGCGTTTCATTCTTTTTTTAGAATATTTACTCCTTTCACTTTTTTTCTTTTTTTTCTTTTTTTTTGGGAACTATTTGTAAATTCATACTTTTCTTTTATTTTTGGTATAATATAATCTGAGATCTACTGGTCTAGGGGCGGCCCACCTTAAGTGCCCCTGTGGTGCAACGGGGCAGACGTACGCCCTCGAGTTTTAGCTATGCAGAACCTTTTAAGAACGTTGTCTTGAGCGACTTACACACACTTTCTCAAGGACGTTTTTTTTTGCAACAGTGTAACTAGTTAAACTACGGTTATACTTGCCCCCCTTCCAATCTGCATACATTGATTTATGTATATAGCGATATTTAAAAAAAAAAGATATGATTTCCCTCTCTCCCTCTCTAATTTTCTTTTCATCTCTTCTTTTACCTTCTTTTCTCCTTCTTTTCCCTTAATTCTTCCGTCTCTCTCTCGTCCCCCTTTGTCAAAGGACGCCGAAAGGGGGAGGGCGGATCGAGGGCGGCCGATTCCTACCGATCCATATAGGAACAGACGATGTGGTGGATTCTTGGGGTCAGGGGAGGGGAGGGGGGGGGGGTGTCCCTATACTTTCCTTGGATTCGACCTTAATGACTTCGATCGTAATTATGCTCTTCAATCTTCTTCAATATCTAACTTTCTTGATGGGGGGGGGGGGGGGGGGGGTTAGGGCCTATTTTACTATTGGTTGAAAGTTTTGATTTGATTTGATTTGATTTGATTTATTGGTTTCTGCATCTTTTTTCTTTTTTTCATCATACAGTTTCATGAATATAATATGGCTTGATACAATATTTCAAGTGCATATAATTTTATACAGATAATAAACGATATTAAACAAATATATTGAATTTAAACAAATACATTGAATGCATAATTAACATACATTAGATGCAGGAGGGCTACAGAAATAAGCAAAGTAGCTTGACGTGCCAGCAGCCCTCAACTATAAAAATACAAAAGAGTGACTTGCAGAGAAGAAAAGGAAAGGGGAGAGAAGGAGCGTTGGTAATAATACAATAAATCTCATACATCTGCTGATTGAATGCAGGTTCATTCATGAATGGAAAAACGATGCTAGGTCATGGACGATTACACAGCATTGTTGAATATACAGTCAATGTACACACGAACATGAATACAGTAGAATTACACACGTTCATTAATTCAACCGAATTCATGTATAGGACTAGTATTATGAATGAACGGTTATGGCTTTTTTTTTGGGGGGGGGGGAGGAGGGTAGGGTCAGGGCATGAATACATGCGACCGCTATTGGGTCCAGGGGTGGATCCAGGGGGGGGGGGGGTTCGGAGGCTGTACAAAAACAAATTAGAAAACCCTTCACACAACTGTTTCGTTCTGTTATTTAATTATTTTTGCTCAAGGGGGGGGGGGGGATGTTGATTATACAAAAATAAAGCTACATACACCCCTCCCCGGCCCCACCCTTCCTCCCTTGCCCCCGGCTGGATCCGTCCCTTTCTGGGTCTAGACCATGACGGTCACACCGAGGACCAAATAGTGTTTCGATGATCTGTTTGTAGAATCGAGAGAATGTGAGACCCCCCCCCCCCCACTCAGTGTTATTTAGGGTACGCATATGCGTGTTCCAAGCGACCCCCCCCCCCCTTCAGCAAAAGTCCGGTGTGTAAAGTCAATACGGGTCGACCTTTTTCTTTTGTTACGAAAAGGACATTTTGGTAACACGCATGTGGTCCGTCCGTTCTCGGAGTGGGGGGGGGGGGGGGGGGGGGGGGGTGCCGGGATGTGAGATAATCATAACTATAGTTTGACCATGCATGGGGACCTGTTATTTTCATTTAGCGCTCTGATATTACACCGACGAGAAAGAAAATCGGTGAATTTAGGCACAACACAATTTCCCATTGGTGGCACTTCACAGGCGCGTATCCAGGATTTTCCAATAGGGGGGGGGGGGGGGGATTTGAAAATCGGGCAGACCGTTATTTCAACTTACCAATACTGACAAGGTCATTAGAAGCATTGTACTCAGTGTATTGGTACCTACAAGCAGGCACAATTTTGGAAAGGGGACATACTCAGGCTTCACTTCTGTTGTCCGATATCAACATTCCCCGTTTTCAAGTTATGCTCGCGCGCAATTTTTTTTGACATTTCCACAGGCGCGTAGCCAGGGGGGGGCGGTGGGGGCGGTCGCCCCCCCCAAAACGCCGGCCAAAAAAAAAAAGAGAGAGAAAGAGAAGAAAAAAAAGAAAGAGGACGTAGGAAGAAAGAGGGAAAAAGAGTCGAGAACGGTACAACGAATCGTCAAAGCTTCCGCGCTTCGCGCGGGAAGGGGGAGACTGTGTTTAAATTAAGGATTAAGAGTCGGGAAAGGTACAACGAATCGCTTTCATTCTCTAATAATTTAATGAAACGTCAAAGCTTCGCGCGAGAGGGGGGGGGGGGGACAGAATCCAGACAGGGATTAAGAGTCGGGTAAGGTACAACGAATCGTCTTCTTTCTCTAATTATTTAATGAAACGTCAAAGCTTCGCGTGAGAGGGGGGAGGGACTGAATTCAGACGAGGATTATGAGTCGAGAAAGGTAGACCGAATCGTCTTCTTTCAAAGCTTCCGCGCTTCGCGCGGGAAGGGGACTGAATACAGATAAGGATTAAGAGTCGGGTAAGGTACAACAAATCGTCTCCTTTCTCTAGTAATGTAATGAAACGTCAAAGCTTCGCGCAAGAGGGGGGAGGGACTGAATTCAGACAAGGATTACGAGTCGAGAAAGGTAAAACGAATCGTCTTCTTTCAAAGCTTCCGCGCTTCGCGCGGGAGGGGGGAAACTCCCCCCTCCCTGCACCCACCCCCTAGGGAGCGCGCTTCGCGCGCCCTTAAAGTGATTCGCACGCTTTGCGTGCTCACTACCGCCCCCCCTAAAATGAAATCCTGGCTACGCGCTTGCATTTCCATCAGTGGGGGCTGAAGCCTCTTGCCCCAATATCTATTTCCTGGTTTCATAATTTAGCGAGCGAAGCACATGTTGTATGTTGTGGTGAAAGTATTATTTGTCACCAAAATATACGAGATAAAAATGCATAGCCTATTGGTAATTTTTAAATTTTCGGGGAAAGAGAGGCCGCAACCCCATCCCGCATTAACTGCAGGTGTGTTGAAATGAAATCGGACCCCCCTAAAAGTATTAACCAAAACGCACAAATCCAGTCTCAAAAATACAAAAAATTAAAAGTAATAACCAAATCGCACGAATACAGTTTTTAAAAATGTAGCTTCAGATGGGGGGGGGGGGGGACATCCCCCACAGACACCCCTGTGCGCGCAAGCGCGAAATGCGTAAGCAGGGGCGGCGGAGCGACACCAACAAAAAGGGCACCTACAAAGCGAAATCTTAAAGTGAAAAAATACATTTTTTTAGACATTGGTAATGTATATATATACCTCCATTGTGATATCATTATCAGGGACGATTTCAATATGTAAACAAATAATTATCCAAGATATTGCTTAAGCCGGCTTAAGCATCACACTTTGCAGCTGGGTGTGATGGTCTGAATATTCATTTGCGAGCGAGCAAGACGAGCGAGAAAAAATGTCAGATATGGAGGTCACAGAGTGAAAAATTACATCTTTTAAAGAGGAAAAACCCGATCATGATGGGGTTATAGGCACATTCTCATAACGGAAGACTGAAAAGACCTTTGTTGAGTAATATAATTTTATAATAGTATCATCTATAAATGCGAGCGAGCGTAGCGAGCTACCTTTGGGGGAAATTACTCTTAGTAACTTTAAAAAGGGGTATGACTAGTAATGAGAGGTTAAAGGGAACACTTATCGAAAGGGATAAAGACACTTATTAGAAAAGAAAAGGAGCATGTGTCAAGGTACAAAGGGCCATTATCTAAGGTTCGAATGGGGCACTTCTTTCACCTGAACGGAGGCACTCACCAGAAATGAGATGGAAAAGGGGCATTTATGAAAAGGGGATAGGTCCCTTATTAGAAAGGAAAAAGGGCATGATTCAAAATAAAAGGGGCAGTTATCAGAGGTGAAAATGGGCAACCATCATAGATGAAAAGAGCACTTATCAGGAGGGGAAGGGGTACTTTTCAAAGTAAAACGAGCATCTCTCAGATTTGAATAGGAGCGATTATCGGAGGTGAAGAGCGCACTTCTCTAAAGTGAAAATAATTAACTTCTCGTATATGAAAAAAGTCATTTACCAGAGATTAAAAGGGGCTCTTATGAAAGTGAAAATGGACACTTTTCATTGGTGAAAATGGGCATTTATGAGAAGGGGAAGGGGCTCTTTTTTAAAATGACCCTTATCATAAGGAAAAGGGGCCCTTATTAGAAA